AAGTTCTATAAAACGGACTGATTCCCGAATGATAATCAATAAAAGCAGGAAAAAATGATAAAGCAAAGTTTTGAGCAAAAGAGATCCCATATATATTCATCAGCTCTACTGGCCGGAAAGTACATGGGTGATGTGCAAAAAAGGATAAGGGGAAAAGTATTACAATTTACTAAGTATCTAAAACTAATCTATTGATCAGCAGCTTCTTTATACCCTTCCTTCTCATCATCGTCATCATCATCTGAATCAGTAGGAGGTTCAGGATCTTTCCATGCTTCTCGATCGGCAGCCCGTTGTAGGTCTCGCTGATACTTCTCGAATTGGGCCTCAACGATCTGAACCGAAGGAAGATCAGCAAGCTCGATCGGCCTTCCCAGCGTTTCTTGGAGCTTGGCCACGAAAGGGATCAAGACATGCTGCCAGCCCATGACATAGAGCGATCGCGCCAGGGAATCATTGAATTTCTTACCCCTTGGATCCCGATCGAGTAGCTTTACCCCTTCTCTACTCCGAGCGTCACTCTTGGGGAATTGGTCGAGAAAGGCACCAAAAGTAAATGGGAGCTCCTGCTGTGCATATTCCCGTTTTACGGCAGCAAACTCCTCAGAGGATTTAAACGTATCCCGAACGACAGACAGATCCACGTCAATTTGAGCCGGACCGTTCGGGATGCGGGGGACCGTCTCTACAAATTTGACCCGGACGGCTTGAGCTGCAGGAACCTTAGTCTGGGCAGTGGCCAGCTAAACTCGGAGCCCCCCCACTTCGTTCTCAAACTTCTGCCTCTCCTCGGCAAAGGATTTCCGTTCGCCCTCCAACTTTGCAAGAGCAGCAACAACATTCTATTCAGCAGAAGTCTGGGCAATAATCAGCTCTCGCTCTTTGGCCAATCGGGCATCCCTCAGTTGCAGGCTGTAGAGCCCAACCTACAGAATGTCGCTCGAGAAATAAGGTAATGAAGTTTGAGAGCAAATATTATCATATGTGACAAGTTATTGCAATAGTAAAAAGTAAAGTACCTTCAGGGCCGCTAAGGCCAAGCATTCCTCCGACTGCTCGAGCGGCAGCTTGGGAACAGTGAATTTGTTGAAGAATGCGGAGGTGGACCAGATCTGGCTTGCCTAGCATCCACCCTTCTCTACAACTTCGTGAACCGGATCTGCCAGTGAGATCAGGTCGACCTGGCCAGATAGATGGACGGTATGCGTATCACCCGTACCCTGACCAGTCTCCTGAGCAGCCTGGAAATGCTTTGAGAATTGATGCAGCTGATCAGATCCGAACCGATCGTCGATCAGCATGGCGTCAAATTGATCCTGATGAGGGACCTGTTGAAGCGGCTGTGGCTCCTGAACGGGTTGGGAAGACCCGACATCTTGAGCAATGGTAGTGGAAGGATTGGGTTGGGGATTCTTTCTTGCTTTCTTCTGTTTCTCGACCCCACCCGCTGCTAGCACACGGCTGTTGTCCATTGGTGCGTCTGGATTGGGAGCTAAAAAAATAACAAAGGAAAATGTTAGTACCGAGCGGCCTTATCACGTGGGAAACAAAGAAGAAGAGAACGTTTCTCGCACGGGAAGGACCGCCCGGACCATGTCACTTGATTCTCAAAACAAGTAAACCCAAGAGAACGGACAGTACCTATCTCGGCTTCGACAAGCCGATCGGGAGTCAAGTAACTCATGATATCACAACATTTGTCTTTCTCCACAGCGAACACATCCTTGTAAAATTCCTTAGTAAGAACTGGATCGGGAGATTTGCGAGGGAAGACATTCCATTTGCGAGGGATCAGGTCGTCCGGGACAGACACAAAGAAGAACCGATCTTTCCACCCCTTGATTGAAGTCGGATTCCCCTTAAACAGGATATGTCCCGTTCGGGCACTAGTAGCCAGATATCCATGTGTTTGTTGGGGGCCACTTTAAAAAATTGATGAAATAAGTCTAGGGTCGGCGAGGCACCGCCATCTTTACAACGACAAATAAAGCCCGCCATTGCTCAATAGGAGTTCGACATGACTTGGGCCGGTACAATTTCGTAGAAATTGAAAAATGAAACGAAAAAGGAATGCAATGGAAACCTATGCCTAGCCCTAACTGAATCGAAGTGGACTACAACCATCCCAGGGGTATGGCGCATTGGGTGAAGCCCAGCTCGCAATCGGAAGTCCACTGGGTCTGGGATTAGGGCCGGGATTTCGGCCCTGTTGTGAGAAGTCAGTTTTTGCCGCCTCTCCCTAATCAGTCTTAGGTCAAGCGTGTGACGAGGGAAATCGCTTGGACGTCCGGCCGCCATGGAAGCCAGTTCATCATCAGACTTGGTGTCGTCGGAATCTTCACCGGAAGAAGAAGAACTGCCGAAGGGATCCTCCGTCTCCGCCCTAGTCTCCGCCGTCGCCACATCAGAGCCGTCAACAAAAGGGACGGTGATAACCTCCACATCATGGTCTTCCCCTTGGGAAGCCATTTTCGAATCGAAACGCAGTTGAGAACTCATATCGATCGGATCAAAGAAAAGAGAGAATTAAAGGGATGAGAAATACCTGCACACGAAAGGCTTGAAGGGGTTGGGAGAAAAGGCAGAGCTAAGGCACGAAGAGATTGAAAATTCGAAACCCGGATTCGAGGAGCTAAAAGCTAATTTATAGCCCTACAAACGCCGTATCGAAGACCAATCAAAGACAGACACGTCACTTGAACCATTTGAAATAACACGTGTCACATGGAAGAGCAAAGATCAACAATCATGACGAATATGGGAAAACTCAAACGACAACCGTCAAATCACAGTATGGGGAACTGACCATTTCTGTATCCCGATCACCATTCGGCATTTATATTATGACACTTATACTTCCTAATGCACTCACTGTCATTCGAGACATCGGAAGTGGGGGACTCGTGTTGGGATATTGGCCCGGAAGCCCAATACCCGGATTAAAGGCCAAGGATATCCAGCCCAAACAACGAGCCCACTACCCTATGATAAGTAGGCCCAGTGAGATATTCATACTGAACGAGATTCAGGCCAAGTAAAGACTGGCCCAGAAAACAGACATACCGAACGGGGTTTGGGTCATACATCATACTTGGGCTAAATCATTAATGAGCCAAATTATTAATGGGCCAAATCAATAATGACTACAGATCAGATGTACCGAACGGGGATCGGACTAATCAGCGAACTCGAGCCAAACCAATGATGAATCCAGCAGGATTCACTGCCCGTTCGGGCAGCGGGTAGCCAACAAGTGGCAGGGGGCATTTATTGCTAAAAGTATGACGATAGCTAGTGGGAGCATGAGTTCCAAGTGGCTAGATAAAGCAACCAATCAACATGAAGTACCCCATACCCCTCATTAGTATAAATAGAAGGATTAGTTTCATTGTAAAGGGTTATCATTTTGATACTCAAGCATAGAATAGCATTATCTCTCTGATTTCTTGTATTAGTTACTATTCCGACATACCGTTCGGGTAGTTTCCAGTGTAATAGTCAAATTACTTAATACAAGTGTGCTTTGAGTGTTCGTTGAGATCATCTTTTATATTTCTTTTATACACTGAATTACCGTCTATTTTCCTGATATATCCAAAGTCTGTGTTGGACTTTCGGATTTATGAAATTAAACCTCAACACATATCAATGGTCAAAGTTGTGTCTCGTCAAGTGTGAAATGTTGTCTGTTGCACTTATTTAAGAACGGAGAAATTGCCATTATTATAATAGCTTATAAAGAATTGCCAAAAAAACTCGTTTTTACCTTTTAATGTTCTCATAAGAGCACTCACAAAAAATTAAGCAACTTTATATTCAAAAAGTTAAGAGAGTAAAAATGCAAAGAATAATATATAAATGCTAACAAGAAACATAAACAAATTTATATTTTTTTTTGAAATTATGAGAACATTAAAAGGTAAAAACGGGTTTTTTGGCAATTCTTTCTAAGCTATTATAATAACCTATTCTATGTGAAGATCAACATCCTTGAAGTAATATGAGATTCAAACTTGTGACCTCCTCCTTGGGAGTGCTACAGTAGTGCCATCACACCACAAGGTACTTAGAGGTAAAAACGATTATTAAAATATGAGTACAATACATGTATACAAATTATAATTTGAAGGCGCACACCTCAACTTAGTAGACTCATCACAGCGTGGAAGCCCTAACAAAGTGCAACTCAGACAGTTAATTATTTAAGAGTTTTTAAGATAAGTTCGATCAGAAAAATCTCAATACTTCAAAATAAACTCGCTCGAGACTAAGTACAACTCACTCGACAGAAACCAGACTCAAAATAAAAAAATAAACCATCTCGAAACTAGCAGTTGACTCCCATAGTCCCATGGTCTTTATTAATCGAAAATAATCTAAGAGCCTAAAATTATTAAACAAATATGTAAATTAAGATAAAAATGTTTAAAACTTTTAATACCATGAAAAGTAATTGTAAATTTTTTTGAAAAAGTAAAATTTTAAAAATTGGTATATATATAAAGTAAAACATGTACAAAAATAAAATATGTATTTATAATTTGAAATTATTCAAAACAATTCCAATATGATTTTGAATCATTGGAAAACATTGAATTAGATTTTAAACAAAGAAAATAGATATATGATTCTGTACATTTTTTTAAAAACCAGATATCTAATTAAACTAAAAACCGTCTAAAGTACAAAAAATGAAAAAATTAACAAACTGCATAAAAAAAAAGTAAAACATTGAAATGTCTGTATATATGAATTTGTAACTTCATATTTCTAAAATAGATGCACAAAGTTTTTTATTATTATTGATATTAGTATTATTTATCACATATTGTTTTTTTTTGTGTGTTTTATTTTGTTGATATTTATCACATAATGTTTGTATGTGTGTGTGTTATTTTGTTCCAAATAATTAGGAAATGTAACTATAAAGTATAAACTTTTTTTGACCAAAAACTATAAACTTAAATAAACAACAACAAAACAAAGTGGAGTCCTTCACCTTGTACGATTACTCAAAGTGCAAATAAAGCTATAAACTTCTGAAGATTAACAGGCGCTTAGCTTCCTGCTTACCTAATCAGAGAGGCCGGAAGCCAGCGGGAAAGACACTTCAGACCTTCGACCTTTTGCAGCTTCCCTCTCCAAGCTTCAAAAGCTCTTCTTCTTCCACGCCTCTAGTACTCCCAGAGTTCAGTAGGCTATGGCTGCAAATCATGTTATTTTGTTTTAATTAATTTATTATTTGTTCGTAGTATGTTGTAAAATTTCAGGGCCTCCTATTAAGTTTGGAATAGGGTCCTCAAATTCTCAGGACCGGGCCTGCTAGCTGCTAAATTGCATCAAGCGCTGGTTCGGTTTGACTATCATCTCGATCATGTTTTGATATTCATTTCTCTTCCCTTTTCTGGACAACTCCTGACATTTCCACATCTATACTAGGCGAAACTTCAATATGTTCATGTAAGTGCATAAATTTTTATCTATGCTTTCGTTTTGATTGTTCAGTCTGTCAGTCACTTATTCATGCAATGAGTTGGGAATTAAGATTCAATCGGTGCTGTTATTTTACATTTTTTTGAGTTGAGTTTTACATATATAGAAAGAAATGTCGGAATTGCATACTTATTTTGTTGTATGGAGTATGCACGCTTCATGCGTTTGAGAGTTAGGAATTTTCTTCTTCTTCTTCTTTCAAGTAAGTGTTTAATTTGATGAGCTGGTGCAGGCATTCGTTTTTTATAACTTATTATTTTATTCTTTTTGTGAATTTTAAGTACCAGTTTTCGAGAACTAAATGTTGAGGAGTAGCAAATGTTACATTTTGATTTTGTTTTGATCCACCTTTTTTGCAATAGGGAGTTCTGGAGAAGGCATAAGAAGAAAGTTTATGTTACCTTTGGAGTTGTAAGTAGTGGGTTTCTATTGTATAAGCTCTATGCTGGGCACAGGCGACACATATCTGAACTAAAGAAGGAACTCGAAGCTGATAAGAAAAATGATGAACTTGTTAGGGCTCAGTTGAGATTCTCTTTAATTCCTATTTTCCTGCATTCTGACTTGTGAATCTTGATTCTCTTAACTATAGTTGAATTACTGACTTAATCTTGATTCTCTCAACTGATAGGTTGAAAGAACATTTCGAGAACATTCAAGTGGTAGCAAATTCTACAACATTGCCTCACGTAATGCAGTATTTAAGCACTAGAATAGCAGAAGAGTTGGATCTCATGCACGTGACTGAGAAGTTAATGAAAGGAAAGGACCAGCCAAATACCCTAACAGTTGCAGAGAAGCTCGAGCTATGGGAAAGACTAAAAATCTTGAGTATGGACTGGGAATCACCCAATAACACACACATTCTCTATATGTGTGGGCTCATTATTGTGTTGTTACTTAAACAGGGTGATTGTTGAGATATCATCATAATTTCTGATTGTGTTCTTTCTATTCTGAGTGCCTTTTTAGGTTTCACAAGAATGGTGTTATCTCTCTGGTCTATGACAACACTAAACCTGTATATTAGAGTTCAAGTCAACATATTAGGAAGGCATCTTTATATTGATACTGCACGTGGCTTTGGAAGTTCCTACCGACTTGTAAGAACCACTACTTATTTCTATGTGGTTACTATACAGTAAAGCTTCATACATCATTTATCTGGATTTTAAAATTTATTGAATGTAAGCATGTATGCATATGCTATTTGGATTGGTTATATGTTTCTTTAGCGAGTCAGTTATGGGCTAAAATAGGACTTCAACCTGCATATTCTTGAAATGGTTTTCATATGTGAAGCGGCAAAAATCACAATGTTTATGCAGCAATGTGCTTTAACTTAAGAGGAGATTGCACTCTTAGTCCTCATTTAATGAATTCTATTGTGTTCATCTTGTGTTGTGGGTGTGGCCAGAGATGAAGAAGAAGATTAAATCAATAATAGTAAAGAATTTCCTCCCTAGTTGAGAGAAGGTGGCGCTTGACCTAGTTGAGAGAAGGTGGCGCTCGAGTGCTCGACCCAGTGAAGACTCCAAGGAAATTAACTCCAAAGTTAATGATTATTATTAATGAGTGGAGTTATAGAACACTACTCCATCCGGTCCTAAATAAACTTCACACTTTGACTTCACACAAATTAAGGAAATAAATTTGACTTTACTGTAGAGTACATTGTTGTGACACTGTTTGACACTGTTTTGCACTGTTTTGATGTAGATAATTTGACAAATAAGGAAGGGAGAAGAAGTGTGAAGTTTATTTTGGACCTACCCAAAATGGAAATTTGTGAAGTATATATAGGACCGGAGGGAGTATTATTTATAATAATCCCAAGAGCCTTGATGAACAGATAATAGAGTAATTGTAAAGTTATTACAATACAGCTTATATGTACATTAACTGAAACTTATACAAATTTTAATAGGAAACTACTATTACTAATAATAAGAAATTAATACTAATTTAATACTACTTAGGATTTAATTATAAAAATAAAATAAAAAAATAGTAGTAGTGGCCTCCTGCAATACTTTTGAAACTTCACTTGTGTGGCTGTAACACAAGACATGCCCATAACGTTACTCTCCCATGGACATCAAGCATGTCCTCATCAAGATTAACTCGTAAAGATCAACCAACTATCATCAACATTGGAACTCATAAAGCTGTATGTGTTGTTAATTGCAGGAGGAGGCTGATATAATTTACAGAGATGACCAGCAACTGTTTTTGTCCAGTGCCGATTATCTCGTCAATTATGGTCTAACTACCTTAATTTTAAATTTTGAGGCTGCAACTTCGGAAGTCATTAAAAGGTTGGTATCTTTGAAGTCTTTTTTCAGTCTTTTCTGATTGCATATCTAGTGAAATCTGTGAGAAATACATGCTCTTCATGTTTGTTGCGAGGGTTATTGTTTTTCTTAGTTCTGGATAATGACTTTTTTACATCTTAAATATTCTTAGTTTCTCACAGTTCTCTTATTTGCAGTATACAGCTGAAGGATGTATTCAGCTCTACTGTCCTTCATGATACCATTGAGCAGATATTGGATTGTTTTATGAGCAAGGGAAGCCCTCATAATTGGCTGGACTATTTAATTCCAGAGGACCCTAAGACATACAGTCTATCTACAGCTTCTCTTCACAGTGAAAGAACAAACCCGTCTCATCCTTCTAATTTTGAGCAACTCATGCTCGAGACCCGTGCTGTATTATCTAGGTACTTTTGTTCTTCCTCTTGAACTGCCATTAGGGTGATATCAAGTGGCCATTTTATCTTCCTTCCTTTATCTTAGCCTCTTAGGGCGATTTACCGAACTTATTAGAAGGTGGTATTTTTTTCAACCTGCGGGTACACGATCTCATTCATGGTTTACAATGGGAAGGTGGGAGTTAGATTTCATTTATGTTGGAATTAGTGGCCACCAATCTAGTCAAGACACACAGAAGACTCTTATATGGCTATTTCAAGAGTCCTAATTATAGAAGGTACAAAGTAAAAGGTTTTAACTAATTTAAAATTGAAATACGAAATAACAGAATTATAAAGATAATAGGACTGCTTGCCATACTCATGCGCATATTTGTGCACATGGTTAAAAGAAAAATCCTGATGGTCCTTGTCATAATAACTGCCTAACACCGAAACCACTGTTTTATTACCCCCATATGATCAGAAGGTATTCCACAAATTCAATAGGACATGTTTGCTGCGTTGCTAAAACACAGTTATGTTACATATACGGTTGTAATAAACATTTTACATGGATAAAATTATGTTTAGTTTTAAAAGAGGTGACTTAAAGTGTTGCTTAGTTGAAAAATACCGGAGACCCTTATATAGCTATTAATGCGTCGCAATCATAAGAGTGTAATGTTTAAAGGCTAATAACTCACTAAAACTGAAATAGGAAGTAGCAGAGTAATAAATATAATAGCACTGCTTGCTTTGACTGCAAGGTAGTTGGTTGCTTTTGGTTCTAGATGGGCTCATTCAGCCGATATTCAAATGGGAATGGCCCCACCCAGACCACACTTGTCCCACTCGGACTAGTACCCCCACCCTCGCTTGAGACCCTTGTCCTCTCAGTCTCTAGTATGTCTGACATGTCCTCAGTCAGTAACAGAATCCTAGTTGCCTTGTTAGGTCTTTTGAGAATATCACACAAATCCACACGTTCAAATGTGAACATAAGATATACTCCTACCAAATAACTTTTGGAATATATTGTCTGAGAAAAATGAATTGGTATGTATAATACTCTGTATACTGTTTGATAACAAATACAGAGTAGAAAACATAAAATCATTTTATGAAAATAGGAACTGATCTTCCACAAATGTCTAAACTCTAAAAGTAGGAAGGGTGGACAACACAGGATCTTCGAAGAGGGAAATCAGGAAATATTTTTCAGGAAAGTATTTTCCATGTAAATAATGGAGCTCGACTATTTGATTATACTAAGAAATTTGTTGTCTATTTTTGGGTTTGGTTATTAACCAGATCTCATTTTGTGTGATTTTCATGTTCTTGTGGGACTAGTGCTGAATTTGGGAATATTGTAGACGTATCGCTAAAGGCAGCGGTTGATGCAATGGTTGAAAACATGCAAACACTATATGAAGAAACTAATTTGATGGTAGGGATTCCATTAGCTAAACTTCTGCCAAGGCTGTCTTACCTGGGTGAGCAGTTACTTGAAGAACCCAACAGGAACAGGTATTTCCAAGTCATCCAGAACTTACCTGAAGTTCAATTATTTTTCACTGTGCTATATTCAAGCACCCCAGTCTCATAGTATAGGAGAAAGTCTTTCTTTTTACATTTACTCAGCAGTCTTTGGATGTTAAGAATTATACATGGCAGTTGACGGCCATTTTAATCATTTAAAGATGAACTAATGGAGGTATAAACACAAATGGAGGTTGATATCTTGCTTTTATCCTTTTATAGTTTAACCTTTATTTGTAATGTGGTATTCTGCAGAATGATTGCTTTCGTCATCAATCGGTGATAATTACTTAGTGTTTGGATAGTAGTCCAAGTAATACCTGACCCACCATAAAATAATTCTGAAGGCTTTAGTAACTGGGACTTGGGAGAATTTGAAAGGCTTCCTTTTTGAGAAATTACTCTCCCTCCCAAATGCTTTTGCCATGTTTGACAGATTCCAAGGGAGGGAGACATTAGCAATTACATGAATCAGTTTCAGCATATAAACACCGGCATCAAGTAAACTATCGGATACAGTTGCCTGAGTCCGGATGATGAAAAAGTTTCACTTCCATTCTATGGCAGCTAAAAAGGCATTGATACTCGAAAAACTCTTATATGCACGCCTTAGAGTATACAAAATCTTCAAAAACTGCATCACAAGTTAAGTTTCATTCAATATAAGCTGATTTGTTTTCTGAAAAAATGCTCTCCCGTAAGGAAAGAAAATGCCAAGGGAAGTTATTTTCCCTTATGGAATATTTCGCTGTATATACTGGAGACAAAAATCTACTATCCTCATTATACCCACCTTACTAATATTAAATAGGTTTTACGGTGCATTCCTTAATAGCTACTTGAGTGCCGATATAGTTGTGATTCTTTCACCATCTAACCAAAGCCTATAAACATCTCATAAACAAGTTTTTTGTTGTTACTTAATCCTTTCTCTTCATCATCTTCATGACTACATCACAGTTTAAAATTTGGGAGCATAATTGCATATTTTCATGCCTACTTTCTCATTTTCGCAATTAAGTATGTACATTTTTATTTTACAAGGACATATTTTTCGTATTTGCACGCGCATCTACTTATATTGCTGGAAAGGTAAAATTATAAGCCAAATTGTCAAGCATCACAACTCACAAGTGATTTCGATGTCATATTTTAAGGGGGCACCCAAGCATCATAAACTTGTGAGATGTATATCAAGGCTAAAAGTTACTTTGGCATAAAAATGATGAGTTATTTCCCAACTTCACGTGCATAACAATTAACAACCTTGTATGGAAGATTTTGTTTGCTAAGATCTAAGCTTAGCACGAGTACTAAGCTGCCAAATCAGCTTTCCCAACATGGCTAAATTGAACATATGAAGTCTCCTCAAGTCCAACTACCCAAGCCCTAACCATTTTGGCGCCACGATTCCCATACCTAAGCACTCCCACCTAGGGATCGACCGGTACTGGTCGGACCGGCCCGGTACCCGGCCTGGACCGCCACTGTGCGGTACCGGCCCAGTTGACTGGGACCGGGCCTTGGGCCCGAATCGGGGGTTTTTGGGGTGGGTTACGGGCTGCATTCCTCTTGGAATCGGCCTGGCCGATTGGGGACCGGTCCGAGCCCATTTTTTTTCCCCGAATGGATTGGGTGGTAGGCGGGTTGGGTTGGGTGGTTTGGGGGTGTTTGGGGGTGGGGTAGGAATAGATAAGAAAAACAAAATTTAAACAAAAATATATATATAAGACCTGACTCGGCCTGAGCATGGTCCCGGAACCTACTCGGGCCGGTACCGGGCCTCCAACTCTCAAACCCAATCCTGCCCAAGGCTCGACCCGAATCCGGTCCCAACTCGGGCTTGGTCCATCCCTACTTCCACCTAGGGTTGGACTGGTTCCGGGCCTGACCGGGCTTTTTTTGGGGGAAGTGAGGCCCATAACCGATTTGGGTAGCCAGCGGTTTCAGGCTAGGCCGGTCCGATTTGATTCAATGTTTTTTCTTTTGTGTTTCTAATTAACCCCCGACCCCCCCCTTCACCCCCACCCCCAACCCCCCCAAAACACCCAGCCCTACCTGGGAAAAACAAAAAATATTGAAAAAAAAAGAAAAAGGCCCGGACCATACCTGGCCCACCCCAATCCCCAGGCCGGGCATCGGCCCGGAACCGGTTACCCAAAACCGAGCCGGTCCGGGCCCGCACAGTAGCGGGCCGGGCCCGTTCCATCCCTACTTCCACCGTTCATCCCTCCATGATCCCCAAGTAGGGATGGATTCGGGCCGGGTCGGGCCCGGGCCTAGGCCCGGTCGGGCCGCCGGTTCGTATCAGATGGGCCCGGGACCGGCCCGAGGGTTGGACGGGTCCGGTTCGGGCCGGGCCACCCGCCCGGGTCACGGGTCGGGCCACCCACCGGGCCGGGCCGGGCCGGTTAATTTTTTTTTTTAATTTATATTTTATACTTTATAGTTTTATACAAGTATTAAAAAACAAACTTCAAGTGCATTTATTTGAAATGAAATAGGAACTACATTTGAAAATTAAATAGGAACTATAATTGTTTTTAATCGGAATCTCCGGCATAGGTAGAGCCACCCTCTGTAGATTCATCCATAAAGTGTTGGGATGGAGTGATGTCAATTTCTTGAGCTCTACGTGCTGCTTTCAACCAATCGTGGTAGCATATAAGCATCTCAAGAGATTCAGCGCTCAACCTCGTTCTGGTTTGTGTTAGAACATTGCCGGCCGAACTAAATTCTTGTTCCACGGCAACCGTTGAAACCGGCATTGATAGCACTTGCTTAGCCATCTTTGCTAAAACCGGGAACATTCTTTCTTTTCCCTTCCACCAGTTTAGTACGTCAAAATCATCATCTTCTTCAAAATCAACATCATAAGTTAAATACAAAGAAATCTCATTAATTGTGCTTTGTTGTGTAGCGGGAGTTGATTTTGTTTTTTTTAATAAGATTGGCAAATGTAGATTTGAAAATTGATTTTCCTTTAGATGATGTTTGTGTCGGGGGAGGGGGCGCATTGCCATATTGTGCATGAAACTCATTGAATAATGCATAAAATATATCACTAACCTCGTTGTATTCTTTTTTCGGATCAATTGGGTTGTCCTCATACATTGGCAATGGACCAAAAAAAGCAGCATAATAATAATTCAAACATTCTTCTAAAGAACCAAGTCTAAAACGAGGATCGAGAACAAATGCAATACCATAAATATGCGGAATGTGTGAATAATATTTTAAAAACTTTTCCTTCATAAAACCAGCAAAATAACTCACATAATCAGCATTCTCAAAATTTGAAAAAGCACCGGCGAGATTAACAGCTTCACGAATAAATTGGTTTGAGGTAGGTTTATAAACATGACTAAAAGTTTCAGTTGCATTATTAAAATATATCAAAGCATTACAATTTTTTTCACAGGTGTCGATCTCAGCCGAGTTTATAATATAGTTATCATATTGTTTCATAAAAGCAGGAAAATGTTGTTTATATCTAAGAAGAACTCCAATTAACTTATAGGTACTATTCCAACGAATAGACAAATCTTTTGGAAAAGCCACATATCTCTCACCTCTTTCTATCAAATAATCATGCCATTTTTTCCTAAGGTGTCCATTACCCCAAATACGTCTAAGCCCCCCCTTGACTACCTCCAACGATGCTCCCAATGCTTTTAGACCATCTTGCACACATAAATTTAGAACATGACATGCACATCGTTGATGAAAAAATCTACCCATCAAAGAAGTAGAACCACACAATTCACGCAATCTAGGAATAGCAGCAGTATTATTAGTAGCATTATCAAAACCAATAGCAAACACCTTATCAATTAAATTATACTCAATTAAAATACGTTCAATCAAAATATAAATATGTTCAGCGGTGTGACGATCATTAAATTCACGGAAAGCAAGAACACGTTTATGCATATGCCAATCATTATCAATATAATGTATAGTCAGACCCAAATAATGTAAATTATGATAAATATCCTCCCATATGTCAGAACATACAGTAACACGTCCATCAAAGTTTGCAAAATAATTTTGTAACCTTACCTTTTCCGCACCATAAAACCTTGAAATTTCTTTCTTAACCGTTTTGCGACTATAACCTCTATATTGTGGATTTAAACAAGTTTGTGCATAATCACGAAAAGCAAGACTTTCAGAAAACAAATAAGGCAAATTTTCTTCAACAAGTAAGTTAGCCATACCTGTCAAATTTTGTGCATCATTGTATGAGAAATTACCAAAAGCTTGTTGGTTATTTGCAAACCTCGATATTTGCGTTTGTTTCCCCGTTCCGCCGCCTAATTTTGCATACTCCACCGGGTGTTTGGACTTAAGGTGTCTTGTGGCGGATCCGTATCCGCCGGAAATCCCCAAGCTATAGTTTTTCTTGCACCAATTGCAAGTTGCGGTCCAATTCCCGGTGTTCGGGTCCTTCCACTTAGAAAAATTATTAGCCATTAATTCAGATTTACTTTTTTTTTGTACCTGTTTGGGATGAGGCTGCTTGGTCGGCGTCATGGCTCCGCCACCCTCCTCCTCCTCGTCGTCGTGGCTCTCCGGAATTGCTTCCTCCACATCGTCGTCCTCGTCCTCGAGCTCTTCTTCGTCAATGGTCCTCGGTTGGTCTTGAAAAAAGCGGGAATTATGTCGGTGCAATTCTTGTTCTAGTTGTTCATCGGTCATCGCATCCCCATCCCTCCTTACGTAACCCGTATCAAAATCATCTTGACTTTGAGATGAAGAGCCGATATGTGATTTACCTTTGCGGGATCTCTTCCTCGCAAGCTCTTTCGTTCGGTTGCGCTCGAGGTTACCCATATCAACCGAATATCTAGGACGATCCATCTAAAAAATGTAGCGATTAATAAAAAATTGTAAAAAACTAATTAACTATTTATCTAACTATTAATTCGAGTTATAGCAAATTAAGTAGTGAATTAACTAGTTTTGTGTACAACATATTTTTTAAACTAGAGTCAAATGTAGCAATTAATAAAAAATTGTAAAAAACTAATTAACTATTTATCTAACTATTAATTCGAGTTTTAGCAAATTAAGTAGTGAATTAACTAGTTTTGTGTACAACATATTTTTTAAACTAGAGTCAAATGTAGCAATTAATAAAAAATTGTAAAAAACTAATTAACTATTTATCTAACTATTAATTTGTGTTATAGCAAATTAAGTAGTGAATTAACTAGTTTTGTGTACAACATATTTTTTAAACTAGAGTCAAATGTAGCAATTAATAAAAAATTGTAAAAAACTAATTAACTATTTATCTAACTATTAATTCGAGTTATAGCAAATTAAGTAGTGAATTAACTAGTTTTGTGTACAACATATTTTTTAAACTAGAGTCAAATGTAGCAATTAATAAAAAATTGTAAAAAACTAATTAACTATTTATCTAACTATTAAACAAGAGTCAAATGTAGCAAATTAACTAGTAATTAAACAAGTGTAAATAATAGAATAATTTCGTACCTCTTTCGGACTTTCGGTCTTTCGGATGGGAGTAATAGAATGACTTCAAATTAATTAGATATAATTCCAACTATATTAATAGATATAATAAATATATAAGTAATATATAATTAGATAACAAATATAAGTAATATAATACTATTTATATCTATTTATAGTTTATATAAGTAGATAATTAATATAAACTATAAATAATAAATATAATATATTGGAGAATGGAGAATAAGAGAATTAGAGAGTAGAGAGTTAAGAATAGGATTTAGGAAGAATTGGAGAAGAGATATGAAAAATGTTTAAGATTAGGAGTATTTATAGGTTTTTTTACCCCCCACCCCACGACCAGCCAACCCCCCGGACCCCCCGACCCGGACCCGGGCCCGACCCGGCCGGGCCGGGTCACAAAAAACCAGAACCGAGCCCGCCCCGCCCCTTCCCATCGGTTCGGGTCCATACCCGGTCCCGGACCGCCCGACCGGGCCGGTCCCGGGCCCGCACAGTACTGGGCCGGGCCGGGCCGGGTCACGGGCCGGGTGGCCCGAACCGAATCCATCCCTATCCCCAAGCTGTCATAAGCTGTTCATAATTCTCTCTAGGGGTGGCCCAAACCGGTTTGGCCCGGCCTGCTACTATGCGGGCCCGGACCGACCCGGGTGACGGAAGGGCGGTTCGGGCTTTGAACCGGCCCGATCGGATAGGGCGGTTCGGGCACGGGCCCTGATTTATGAGAACTGGCCCGACCGGTTCGGGCCCGATCCGGGCCTTTTTTTTTTAATTTTTTTTGTTTTTTTTTGGGTTTGGGCTGGGTTTAGTTGGGCTTGGTATTTCTGAGGGGTTTGGGGGGTGCGTTGGGGGGGGGGGGGGATGGGGGGTGGGGGTGAAATAAATAAAAAATCAAAGAAAAATTGAATCGGAACCGGTCCGGTCCGGAACTGCCGCCTACCCGGGCCGATTCTGGTTCTCCCTTTCCCCAAAAAAGCCCAACCGGCCCAGGCCTGGCCCTAATTCTCTCTCGCACAGGGAGAAATGTAAGAAAAAGACTTAATGGTATAAGTAGAGTAGGTGACTAGGTGTAACTTGAATGATGTTTTGGTTAAAATGTTTTGCCCGACATTAGGAATACATTTATAATTCCAACTTCTTGAACACCCTTTTCATAAAATAGCCAAACACCATCCTTTTACCTCTTATAGTCTGGGTGGAAGTTTAAGACTATAAGACCATCCTTTTACCTCTTATAGTCTGGGTGGAACTTTTCAAAAAATGTCACTTCTATCTCATTATAGTATTTGAAAATGTCATTAGGAATGTCAAGTTTATATATGAAATTGTCATTATTGTATCACTATGCATATTAAGTGGCATTCTCGTATATGAAGTGACATTCCTCATGGAGGTATGCACAGACTCACTGGAGGACAGATCTTTTGTTGGAGAATGATGACAGCGTAGTCGTTGAGGGGTGGCAGTGGTGGCAAACTTGATGGATGGTGGCAGAGGTGCCAATGGTGGAGGTGTCGACTCCAAACCTGCGAACACGACACACCTGCGCAGCAAGGGGAAGGGGAAACCTGCGCAACACAGGGGAAGGGGAAACCTGCGCAGGACCTTGCGTAAATTTTTCATTAAGGGTATTTTAGTCAGTTTAGGTTTTTAGTCCTATTTTTGTCCAATAAAATATAGTAGTCCTGTTTTTGCAATTATTCCTTCTTTTAATCTTATTTAGGGAATTCTCTCTTTAGTCTATGCAAATTTAGTACGAAGTACATTTTATTTTACATCCATGGAAAATAATATTTTTGTTTTTCATCCTTATAATTGATGTTGGTATTCTTTTTAGTCTATCACCGATAACAACCTCCGCTTGACCTCAAAATAAACTCGATTAATAGATTTAATCTAATTATTTGTCATGTTATTCAAAAAGTATTCAGTTTTATTTGTTAGAAGGTTTTTAATATATATTTTTAAAATGTGAATATTTAGTTTTACATTATTTTAATTCTCATATTAGCCATAAAAATTTTATAAAATGATAAATTTAAATATTTCTTGTAGATTTATGTAATTAAAAATAACTTTTTCTGTAAGTAGAGTGGTTTCGTAATAAGAGATGAACTAAAAACAAATAGTGCATATTGCAAGGATGATTTTTTTTACAGGAATCTGAATCAAAGTGTCACATTTGCAAGGACTAATAACGTATTTAAGCCTTGTTTTATTAAGATAAATTATATTTTTTTTAAACAAATTTTTTATTTTAAGATGTAGAGTAGAATTTCCTAAAACAGGGGAAAATAAGCATAATATTTCCCCTCTTAAATAAGAACGAATTACGTTGAAAACCATAATTTCATGTTTTAACATTATTAGACATTAGTATGACACTATTGATATCACAGTAACATCCTCCATATGAGTTTTCAAACATGACAATAATTACTCCAAATTGGCAAAAAACGTGACTCTTACTTTAAAATTTCACTATATATTTACTCTTATTTTGGACAATTGTCATAACTCTTTAGACTTTAGCATACATTTGAGCCTTTGAGGTGCTTTTGATTCGAATCTTCAAAAGTAATTATCTGTTCTATTTCAGCGTGTTTCATAAAAGAATCTTCAAGTGTTTCTTAAGCTTTTTTTAACACGTTTTATAAAAGCATCTGATCTTTTTTTTTTGTTGGGCTTGAGCATCTTTTGACCCACTAAAGTGATTTTGAGCCTATGTACAAGAGTGTTTGCAAGTGATTAAAAAAGTGTTTTTGAGTTCCTTACTAAAACGTTGAAATTAAAGTTTTCAAGTGACAACTTCTACTTAAATTATTTTTTTTTGGAAGCAGGTGGTTTATATTGATAAGAGAGCATAAGCAGGATACAAACCGACAAAAAACCCAATGTCTACCGCCTGCCCTTGAACCAGACTTTGAACCTGTCACCTCGTACGAAGCAACCAGATTCGTTGATTCTGAAATGGCTTACTTGAGCCAATGACTAGTAAACTAAGTTCCCCATCACCTGTCCTATGTTCAAGAGTCTTGGCAAAATAACATGCAACAATACACAAAAATACATCATGTCCATGGTAAAATTCAGCAAAAATAAATAAAAAACTAAAAGAAGTAGAATCTCTAATTCACCAGGTGCCCCAAATCTTCACGAATCGTGGCGGGTCTGGAGACTCCAACTCGCCCCCTCCCTGTTTTTTGATCCTTCCAGCATCATGGTGTCCTCTTCTGGTTGCTCCCCCTTTGTCTCCGCAGCTTCCCATGTCCGCCTCCTCTTCTGCTCTCCCATCCCACTGTTGTGAGCCGTTGCTTCCACGGTCTTTGAGTCGACCCCCTCCCCCTGAAACTGGTTTTCCATGCGGTACAATTCCTGTTCCTGTTTATCCATAATATTGCTATGCCTCCCCATTTGGTTCCTTCTTATCCCTTTCTCACCGACAAGCCATTTGCTACCTATTGTTGGGCGGAACCTCCCTCCCCCCGCCCGAAGCCATGGGCCAAAGGGTCTTGCTGTCTCTGTATCACCTTTGTCATACAGTGATGGACAGAATTTCTCAGCGTGTCCAATGACGCCGCAGGCAAAGCAGAAACTAGGAAGTTTCTCATATTTGAAATCCACCCGGTATCCTTCCCCTTTACTTTTTCTCAACGTAGTACCCACCTTTAAAGGTTTCCTCACATTCAGCATCACCCTAACCCTCATGTAGGCTTCCCACTTTTCATCAAACTGATTATCATCCCATGAAATAAATTTCCCCAGATATTAAATTAATTAATTAAGCACTTAAAAGCTATTATACAAAAAGTGCTTTTCACTTTTTCTATTATACAAAAATCACTTATTTTATCAACACTACCCACTTTTACTTTTTCAAAAGCACTTTTTTCTCAAATACTACTAACTTTTACCATTAAGCACTTTCTTTATAATCACTTCAAAAATCACTTTTGAAAAGTAGAAGCAATCGCAAACACTACCACATCTGAATATCTGATCCTGCTCAAAGCTATACCCAAGTGGCCAAGTATATCACCTAGTGCTTACTAGAACGCTGAAATAAAGCAGCGCTAGCTGTGATCCCAAGTTAAGCTTATACTTCGTATACCTTTAAGTTTGGTATTCAGCGTTTTCAACCTGAACGCGCTGCTTATTGTAGCGTTTTAGTTGTAAAAAATTTGGCATTTTGGCTAAAAAGCCAATGATCTAACAACTCCATAAGCCAGCGAGAAAGAAGACACATTTCTAGCAACTTAGCCATCAGAACAAGGAGGAGTAAGGATTTTCAATTCTACTTTAGTTATAACAAATAAAGAACATTTGTTCATAAATAGAAGGCAACTGTCTTTCAAAATGTTAAGGAGCCATATATGACTCTGCTAGGGAGTCATATTCATATGTGCCTCTCCATAACCACTCATTTTAATAGTGGGGAATCCCACTCTTAAAATGAGTGCCTTTGATTAGGCTAATATATATGATTCCATAGTAGAGTTATATATGTCTCCATAAAATTTTCCAACCATCTCAAGAGGGAAAATGTTCTCCGACATATTAAGACAATACAAGTCCTCAGCGGGGGAAGAAGTTATCAGACAAATGAAGACAATGCAGTCCTCTCAGCTAAACATTGGAAATGATTAACTTCTATAAATCAATATCTATTCTCCAGGAGCTGACACCCCTTGCTTCAGTCTTTCCTTCTTCATCTTCTTTTTGGACACAGGCTTCTTTTTCTTTGGGGGGAGAGTCTTCTGTGCATACCTATAAAGGAAGTAGTTCCCCACAAGGAATGCCAATACAAGACCACCAACGATTAGAAGCACAACTAATCCAGGGTTGAACCCTTTAACTTCAACATCCTTGGCCACATCTCTCTGTTTATTCGTCATTCAAGAAACACAAGCTAAATTTAGATAAACCATTATGCAATACTCTGTATAATTTTTTAAAATATATTTTTGGTTTAGATTTACAATACATATGCATTTGATTATTATTACATTGTGTTCCATTATGTCTGAGTGGACTTCACCTAAAAAGAGCAAGAAAGCATGTGCATTACACAATAAACAAAAAAAGATATGTACAGTAGTGACTTCTTTTTGCCATAATTCTTTTCTTTTGCATAAAAAGAACTAGAAGTTATGGGTTCATTTTCTTTCGTTGGTTAACAAGTTTGCTTAACCTGAGCACCTTTGTATTGGCTGCTTTGAAAATATATTTCACAACAGCCATGGACTAAACATCATCCAGAGTTGTAGTTCATTTGAGCATCTTGGACTGGCATATAGAACGCAACAAAAAGGAATGTGACCTTCCACCTAAAATAATGGCTACTAGAAGAAAACTACAAATCTGGATCCAGATGTTTTTTTGTTTTTCAAAGCATTCCAAAATAGCAGTTCCTCATAAATTGTTACTCTGTATGGGTTAGAGTTCTTTATTTCACAAATCTAATTCATTTTGCACTTTCAACCCACAAATGGCTTCTTAACACTGCATATAAAGCGAACCCTTCCATAATCCATACAACCAAAATACTCAATAGAGCATAATCATTTCAATCTCTTGGTTCAAATGGAATTTAGTAGTTCCAACTTCCAATCCACAGAAAAAGAGGTTATTTGATCATGTTGAAATATGATATTCCCTATTCTAAAGAGAAATTACCCAAAATAGGACTGAAACCGTTTGGATATTCCAAAATAAGACTATCATATTTTTATTCCCAAAATGGGACCAATTACTGTCATGTTTTGGCAGTACCGGACTTTAAACATGACAGTATTTTCCAAACTTGACAGTAATTACTCCTATTTTGGGAATAAAAACTTGGCAGTCCTATTTTGGAATTTTCAAACTCTTTTACTCCTATTTCGGGAATTTTCCCTATTCTAAATCATGGGGCAAAAAATTAATAGAATGTAATCAATTAATCATACAAGATCATTTTGTTCAAAATTTTATCCACATAGTACGGTGGTCTTAGAATTTAGATATTGAAAAATAAAAACAGTAATAATAATAATAATAATAATAATAAAAATAAAAATAAATATGAAGCCCAAATAAGACTTCAGCCAAATACTCCAATTGGGAGTTGGAAAATATCACCCAATCAATTAAATAATTATTTAATGATTTCAATCTGATAGCCTTATAGGTGGACTGGTGAAGTTATTCAAAGAGTCTAAGCTATTTATATGTTCTTTGTATTTAGAGGGATACAGAATGACTCGTTTGGGCAACTCTATTGATCTAGTAGTACCTTTTAACAGTTAGGATCCATCTAAAAATTATGCTCAATCCAAAAACAGTTAAGCCAATTTGGGGTGCAATACGTTATTGTTTTTTAAGGTGTACTACGTATCGTTTATCTTAAAGCACCTCAAGGATTACGAGTCTACGAGCATATTAAAATAAATGTATATTAATATGGCAAAAAATGGCACACATTCAAGAAGAGTTTGTAAAATATAAAAAAAGCTACCAAAATTATAAGATCCAGAATAACTGCAGATCTATCAAAAAATGCAGCAAATACCAAAACTGAGTAGAGAATGTATATTTGGAGGATATGAAGAATTTGTTACCATTCGTTCAAATGGAGGTGCTTCGTTCTCGAAATCTCCTTCGTAATCCATTGTGAAGATGAGAAGAAGGATATCTGATCTTAGTCACGGATTAGGCAGAGCTGTCGTCAACACGCCTGTCAGTTCTACTGGCATAAATTAAAATCAAGACAGTAATTCCCATTGAAAAAAAGAAAAGTTAAAAAAAGCACCCACAGGATACACACACTTTTATAATAAAAAATGGGCATATATTTCAAAAACATTAGTTTTTTTTAATCCTCCCCCTATTATAATACTACATTTTTTCAGATCGTTGATAGTATAAATCTTCCTCTGTATCATACATTTGATCCAGTTATACCATACCTCTGCAGTGTAGCAATCGCTAGAGGAAGTGCATAATGAATGACAATGGAGCTGAAACTAAACATAAGGATGTCCATGCATGCCTAAAGTAACATATTTAAGATAATGTTGTTGCTATGTTTCTCAAATGTTATAATATATTATATATTTATATATGTGTGTACATGTACACATACATACATATTTTTGTACTTGTATAATAACAAATTAGTGTTGCATTTATACAATACGAAGTAATTACGAAGTGTAAATCCTTACACATAAAAGAATATATTTTTCTTGTAAAAGAAGAAGACAGGCCATCATTCCCAACATAGGAATAATTGGTATTCATAATTATAAGCATCTTTTCCTAACCTCTTATAAAAACAATTTCCAGAAATTGAAATTTAAACGAGCACATATCCAAAGGATTATATGAAACAGACAAAATTCATTTCTGTGCGAGAGTAATTGCAGCAGACATCGGCATTGCTCTATTCCAATTCCAAATTAGAGATATAACAACATCGGCATCTTCAAAGACTGTCTATCAGACTAAAATGTAATCAAAAGGCAAACCCTAGAGAAATGTTTACCTTTCTGAATATTCTGATCGGCTAAGGTACGGCTTCTTCTAGCTGCTTCCCGGAAAGAATCAACCTCTGCTCGTCGGCAGAAGAAAGGGAAACTTTTGTTGGGGAGGAGAGGAGAAAAGGGATGTGCGAAACTGTTGAAAGGTGGTATCTTGTTTATGATTTCAATTTCAATCGGATGGTATGACCCTGGGAGAACAAATGTACAGGTGGCAAGCTTCTATTGGTTTAAATAGTACCCATTGTGTACAAGACTGCCCACGTGGAGAGCCATAATAGGTTTGTGCTACGTGGAACACATCCTTTTTCGTTTTTACTGTGTTGAAATCACGGTTCATGTTTATTAAAAGCTCCTCCGAATTTACCAAATCTCGCGCTGAATGCTTTAAAGCTTCGAAGCTCAAAGTCACTGAAATTCTGCGGATAATAATATGGAGGCATTGACGAAGCTGTGCAGTCTCGATATTGTGGCGTGGAGGGGCTTTCTCTACTCGGCATTGATACTCAATTTCGTGTTCGCTTGTCAGCTTCTTCTCCTCCAACCCCTCGTGTCTGCCCTAGGTAATTTTGCCATTCTCTGCTTGCCCATTACTTAAAAAAGAATTTGTTTTGTTTCCATACTTCAGTATATTATAATTTTGCGTGTTTGAGCTTTGATATTTGCGATGTGATCGATGAAATCCAGGTTTATATGCTCACAATCTCGTCAGGCAGCCATTAGAAATCCGATTTTTTTAATTTGTAATTCTTGATTTTTATCGAGTGGTGTTTGGTCATAAAGTTGGCCTTTTCTATAGTGTGTTCCTTTAATTTTATCAAGTTGTGTTTGCTCATATGTTTATTATTCTGTTGTGGTCTCTGAAACGGTGGAAGTGACAGATCATGCTCTTCTGACTTCTTTTAGCATTTCATTTTAACTACCCTTTACTTATTTATCTTTTGATTCCTTTCCTATGTGTTTGGTGTGTAGATGGGAACCCTGGTGAAGCTGCTGCTCTGTTTGAGAAAGCTCAACAACATGTTAAAGTCAAGAAATACCTTGATGCCCTTAATGATCTTAATGCGGCTATAGAGGCTGATCCAAATCTTTCAGAGGCATACCGGCATCGGGCATCTATTCTCCGTCAATTATGCAGGTTCCATGTTCGATTTTTTATTCCATTGAATAGTAGTATACTACATCTTGTTTTTGGTTGTTTTTCTACATATAGTAAGTGGGTTAAGTTGTAAATTTGTATTTTGTGCATATTACTAGTAATAAAAGTTGACCATGTGAGGAAGGAAGCCATTAACCTATCTCTCTCTCTCTACTAATGTTTTCTTCCTATAATAATACAAATTCAATTCTCCATTATTCCTGAACATCAGCAGGTCTTTTCTATTTTATCCATCTTTTAGTTGGTGGGGTAATGCGTTATAAAGTTATACGTAGCCATATTAAAATATGATGTCTAGTTCACGGGTAGTAACAAAGATAGGTTATTTGCTTCTTGCTTTAATATCTGATTGAAAATTACTTGATCCAGGCAATTTTTGGCTAATGTAGATATGAGGAATCAGAAAGAAACTACGGAAAGTTTTTGGAGATGAAACCTAAGAACTCAGTGGCTGAGAGGGAGCTATCCCAATTGTTGCAGGCTAAGGATGCGTTGGAGTCAGCTATGAGTCTCTTTGAGTCGGGGGACCTTACAAAAGCACGAGAGCATATTGATAAAGTTGTACTTGTTTTCTCTCCAGCCTGCTCAAAGGTATACAATACAAATACAATACAAATCATTGTTTAAATTGGGACGTTCTGACATAACACATGGATTTGCAGGCCAAACTCCTCAAACTAAGGCTTTTGCTTGCAGCTAAGGATTATTCAAGTGCCATATCTGAGGCAGGATTTATGCTTAAAGAGGATGAAGATAATATGGATGCATTGTTGCTACGTGGCCGTGCCTACTACTATCTTGCTGATCATGATGTAGCTTTAAAGTTTGTATCATGTCTTGTTTCTCTCTCTCTATCCTTTCCTTCTGTTTTCTAAGTTGCACTTGGTGTTTTCCTTTCCAGCTGGTGTTGTTTAAGGTTATTAGTTCTGTTTATCTCAACCCACACCTCGGCATGTGATCGCATGGGAAGATATGCATGGTGGACATTTAGGAGGATTATTTTCATCTTTAGCCATATTTTTCACCAAAAAAACAATCTATTACACTGCTGTGAAGATTTAGCGTGATAACGAAAAAATTAGAACCAAAGTAATTTATTTATATATTTATTTATTTTCTGAAATGCCTGAAATTGGTCTGATTTTGTGGAGGGTTGATCTGATTTTGTTCGGCTCCTTATTTTGCGATGACATGTGTCATTCATGTTAGCCGATCAGATTTTTTGGGATTAAGGCTTGGATGTTATTGTTTTATTTGTTAGCATGCTTAATTTAGTTAAATGACACTTCAACCTTATATATATATATATATATATATATATAGAGAGAGAGAGAGAGAGAGAGAGAGAGAGAGAGAGTAATGATCCAGTCAGCTAGTCCTGACGGGAAGCCTCGTCCGAACTTGTCTCTTTGAGGTGCTTCCCGGTGGAATTCTTTTATGAAATTTTGTGAGCATGTTCATCATGGAGTGTAGATTATGGTCACAAAATTTCAGCTTAAATTTCAATTGAGAAGGCCGTTAAATAAATTGGTCTTATTTTGTGGAGGATTGATCTGATTTTGTTTTTCTCCTTTTTCTCCATTTTTTATTATTTATCTCTGATGACATATCTCGTTCATGTTAGCCGATCTGAGACTCTTTTGGATTAAGGCCTGGATGTTGTTGTTGTTTTATTTGTTAGAATGCTTAAATTATTAAATGACACTGTAACCTTATATATAGAGAGAGTAATTTATCCCTAATGTTTTTTGAATACTGTCAGGCACTACCAGAAGGGTCTTCGACTAGATCCTGAACATAGTGAACTGAAGAAAGCATATTTCAGCTTGAAAAATCTACTTAAGAAGACAAAAAGTGTAAGCATTTCGTAATTCTCCCTTTAGTATAGACTTTCACTATGTGCACATATTTATATGAATGTCGATTACCAAACTATTAAATACCAAAATCGAAAGAGGGAAATTGATGTTCATTAAGAACATGAAAGAAGAACAGAACTGAAACGATACACCATTAGGCACTTAGAGCAGCCTATCTCTCCCAAACTCCCAGCCCAAGTCTCAAGTTCTGCCTGCCTCTATTCTACTCCCCCGATTCCTATTTATTCTTTTCCATTTGGGCTAGCCCAATGCTATTAAATTCAGGGCCTAAACCCCTTTTATTCTACAATATAAAAAGACTAATATTATTCTTATTACTAGGACTGTCAAGGTCTCTATCACAAACTTTGTTTTTCTTATGTGCAGGCAGAGGAAAACGAGGGTAAGGGCAAACTTCGTCTTGCTGTGGAAGACTATAAAGCTGCTCTAGCATTGGATCCAAACCATTCTGCATTCAACGTGCATCTTCATCTGGCTCTGTGCAAAGTATTAGTGAAGCTTGGAAGAGGTAAGGATGCCATTTCAAGTTGCTCAGAAGCACTCCAAATCGATGAGGAACTTGTTGAAGCTCTAACTCAGGTCCCTTTTAATTTGTTGAAGCACTCCAGTCATTTAGATCTTCCCAGTATAATTTGTGATCCTAAAGTGCATTAGGAATTTAGGAGTGCATTTCATGTATTTCTTTTTAAAGAAATTTCATTAGGTGATCATATAATTTGTTGCTAACACAATATTTTTGACACGGAATCATTTTTGCAGAGGGGTGAAGCAAAACTTTTGACAGAAGATTGGGAAGGAGCTGTGGCTGATTTGAAGTTGGCAGCTGAAAAATCTCCACAGGTTTGTATTGCAGTCTGAAAAAAGAGATTAAACAATGAACTGAAACTGTAGACCTAGTAAAGATTACAGAATAGGATTGAATAAAAACCGATAAATTGATACCAACAGAAAAATCGATTGAAACTGAACTGATCAAAACCAAACCGTCCCAAAACCGATACCGACATAGGTCATTTTATTGCTTTATGCTTTAATACCCAAACTGACTGAAACCTGCAAAAACCGACACGAACCAGCCGAAAAGTGACCCAACTAAAACAGACTTATGTTACTTGGATCGGTTCATGGATTTGCATTTTTCAAAACTAAAACAAACCGAACTGAAGAGTACTCTTAGTCCTATTGCAGAATACATTTTAATATCAGAACGTAACAAAGGTTCTATCTATCTTTGGAATATCAATGCTTAAATTGATGGTTTAACTTTCACACTTACAGGATAGACATATTCGCGAAACATTAATGCGGGCTGAGAGATCATTAAAGTTGAGCCAACGAAAAGATTGGTACAAAATTTTGGGAATTTCAAAAACTGCATCTGCATCGGAGATTAAAAAAGCATATAAGAGGCTTGCTTTGCAGTGGCACCCAGACAAGAATACTGACAACAGAGAAGAAGCTGAAGCCAAATTTAGGGATGTAGCAGCAGCATACGAGGTTTGCCTCTAATTATGTCTCATGTTTTTGTTGAATATATTATGGGAAGTGTTATCCACTAAAGTTGAGTTATCCATGAGTGATTTTTTTTCTTGGTGAAGTAAAGAAAAAATGGTACTTTAACATATCACAATGACTGCTCAAACTACAATGAGCAATATATAACAAAGTCATTCACTCATTATAAATGTCAAGAAACTTCTATTATTCCAAATAATAGAACTGTCAGAAATAATTCTTATTTCTAAAAGAACTGTCAGAAATAATTTTAAATTACAAATGCAAATTGTCAATAAAAATGAATTTATGTTTATGTTTTGCACCAATCACTATATTTCATATATGCGCAAATTAGTTTATGTTATGACTTATTATGTATAAAAATATGAGTCATTAATAAATGACTTATAATGTATACTACCTCCATCCCGGTGGACTTTTCCAAATGTAAAGTAGGTGAGAAATAAAAAAGTAAAAACTATGTGGTTGAGATTTGTGCAGAGGAGAGAGAAATGTGTAGAACCACAAATTAGTTGCTTTAATTGGAAAGCGGCAAAGTTTTTTGGGACAACAAAAAAGGGAAAGTTGGCAAAGTCCAATGGAACGGAGAGAGTATATTTTATGGAAAGTGGTTGCTGTTAGGTGGCAGTCACCCATTGACCTCTCTAGATATGCCCCCGTCTTGAGGTCTCTAATTTGGAAACCGGCTCGGATTGTCCGGTAACTCCGGTTTGGGGAATATACCTCATCTAATTTGTGTGAGTAACCCGAGAGATAGAGAGTGTGGTCCTTCTTCCTCCCTTGTCCTCTGTGTGAGTTAGAGAGGTGAGAAAAGAGTGTGAGTTGTGAGACAGTCCTGGGTGGTGTGTGAGTTGTTTTGGTTGGAGACCTGAGCTGAAATACACACCTAACAATCACACACACAACATGAAATGCCAATCTTTGTTGCAGGTTCTTGGTGATGAAGATAAACGTACACGGTATGATAGAGGAGAAGATATCGATGAAGCGGGTTCTGGAATGGGCGGTGGAGGGTTTCACCACCCGTTCCATGGAGGTAACTTTGAGTTCCACTTTGAAGGAGGGTTTCCGGGTGGTGGATTTGGAGGTTTCCAATTTTGAGCACTCACTCATTTATTCGCGAGATATTACCCAAAATATGAGTAAAACAGTTTGAAAATTCCAAAATAGGACTGCCATATTTTTATTCCCAAATAGGACTAACTACTGGCATGTTTTGGCAGTACCAGACTTCAAACATGGTAGTATTTCCAAACATGGCAGTAATTAGTCCTATTTTGGGAATAAAAAACATGACAGTCCTATTTTGGAATTTTGAAACTGTTTTAGTCCATTTCGGGAACTTTCCCTTTATTAGCAAGTAAAAAGGAAGCAAAACTATTGCATCTGCTGCCTATGTAGTCTACTGCTATGTCCCCATGATGAAAGAGTTCCTTGTTTTATTTGTTCGTTATCACGAGAGGGCATTTTTTCATTGGATAAGTGGCATTTTTCATTGTAACCTTGTAGTGTAGTTTTTGTCTGAAATTTAGAATAGTGACATATTGTTATTTTTGGCGGGTATTCAATTTGAATTACTACCACGCTTTTAGCATTCCGATCGATACATATGTGTGAACTCCTTACCTTCTAATGGGGCTAACGTTGAATTTAATTTGGCTACTACTTTACTGCAAAGATAAGAGATATGACTTGGTATAATTGCCACAAGAGTTTTAATGGAAGAACACTTGATCAACCTCATGCACAGCTTACTAGCTGGTGGTTATCAGTCTATACTGCGCTTTCAACTATGGCAATTGACAACTCCTGTTGTGATGTTAACCAATTCCCATAGGTAACGTTTGGCGCGGACTCCCTCGAACCAATTCCTGGTAACGGCAATATGCTGATTGTGTGCTCTTTAAGAGATGGATGAATGTTGAAAACTCACAGGCCATCACACTAGTATTCGTGCGAGTCTGTGATGTATACTGGGGAGATTTTTTTTTTGGAAAATCTGTAGGTATTAATTTATATCAAGAAGTCTAATGGGATGCTGGGTAGTGGAGTGAGTCTCAAGGTGGCAAAGAAGTTTGATGTTTTGCTTGATCAGGCATATATTTGGTCACTCCTGCTAATTTTTGTTGTACAAAATCAAAGCTTTAAGTGTCTTCTATAATACACCAGTTCATTAGATGAAATGCTTCAAGATGTGGTTGGACATTCTCAATATCTCGATTTATATATTTTTTGACTAAGAAGCAAACAAAATGACCTTTTGTAGATGTTGCATCTCTTGACATTACACAACAGTGACCTAACTTGGAAATAAATTTAATTTAATTCAATAAAGACAATTTAAAACAATATGTTGAGATCACTTTGCATTGTCTCTTCTAAACAATTTAAGACATTTTCTGACTTTTACTTTTTAATCATAAACATATAGAATAGCCTTTCAGTCGAAGGAAAATGTGAACTAACTAAGAAAAGGTTTTGAGATGTGCAAAGGCTTTCAAACAATTGGGGGTTGGGGAACTTCATAATCTTATTTAACTTTTGTATACATAGCTTATTAGAACATTTACTGAGTTTCCAATATTTTTCTCACAAGTTGCAAACTTGCATGTTGGAACATTGACAAATAATAAGATGGGGGTATAATCATTCCTAATTAATGTGCTCATATCATCTTCATCAACTATTGAAGACTCTTAACACCTGGAATTGCAAAGCTAAAATGAGGGTGCATAAAGAGCAGTGGCAGTGGCAGATTTGGAATTTACATTTTGGGTGTTAAATGTTTTTTTACAACTAAAAATGTTAAGAGTAATAAATAATTATACTAAGATTATAAATATATACTTGCATGTTTTTCAAATATTTGAGTATTCATGTGAACACTTTGGAACAAGAGTAGCTTTGTCAAACAGTTACTCATTAATAAAGGATTGATTAATGAGTAACAAGAGAGCCCAGATCGGATAGAACTATTATTTGAGAGATGTAAGTTGAACCAGAATCTCTTGCACTGTGTACCAGAATCTCTTGCAGATCAGTTATAAGTTTCACTATTAAGAGTCTGTTGGATACTATCGTATTATAGTATCAATGATGATATTTGAATTTGCTTTAGTGGGACTACACAAGCTTAAGCGCGAAACAAATTAGAGAGTCGAATATAAGGTCTATACAGATCCACGCGGGGGTTTTCCAGAAACAAGCTAATTGAATTCATCATCAGCATTGAACAGACTGGTTCGTCTTTTTGGGAAAGCCCTAAAACGAAGTTACCCAGAACACAGCTTCAAATGGCCACTTCAGGTCACACATTTTCATTCCTCGCTTCTGGCCACTCAAGTCTCCCTCTTTTTCCCTACTGTAATCGCCCAAAATCTTTCAGTTTTCAAGTACAAAACTTTATGCCGCCCAAGAGATTGCGCATCCAGCACCCTATCAGAGCCCTAGCAGCTCCGCTCGATCACTGCATTGTAAAGACAGCAATCCAATTCGTTCAAACCTCGCCGCCGACGTGGCGGTCCTCCATCGCGAGCAACCTCATCATCTTCACCATTGGCTCTCCCCTTCTGGTTTCCGGCCTGTCGCTTTCCGGCGCGGCCTCCGCTTTCTTGCTCGGTATTCTCTCTTGGCGCGCATTTGGCGCCTTCGGATTTCTCCTCGTCGCTGCCTACTTCATACTTGTAAGCACAAAAAGAAGTCTCTTCAGTCTTTATACCTAGATTTATGACTTGTTGAAAGTTCTCGTTTTTACAGTAATGGGGCTTGAATCTATAAACATTTAGTTGTGGACCATTTTAATGCTCTGAAGAATCATCAATCTTAATTATAGTTTTTTGTGATTAACTAGAGAGGATGGTAGATTGACACACTGTGTATCCACGATTCCAGATGTAGAGCTTGTTTGTTGAGTGTTATTTGGCTGAAAATGGCTAAACATGCTCAGTTTTCTGAAAAGAAAAGCGTCAGGTAAAATTGATATTAACCAAATAAGCAAGTCAAAGACTACTTATTCTGCAGAAACAGTGTAATAAGTAGATTAGTGCTACCAAACGCGGCCTAAAGTTCTTTGTTTTTAAATTTCTATTGAAGAGACATGGTTCAAGATATATCAGTTTGTCAGGGAACTGCTGCAACTAAGGTGAAAATGGCCCAGAAAGAGGCTCAAGGTATTGCAGAGAAGAGGAGTGGAAGGAGAGGATTAGGAAGTGTGATTGGTTCCAGTGCTGCTGCTTGCGCTTGTGCATTACTGTCAATTAAAGGGATAGGGGGAACGGCTTTCTCTTGGCTTTGGGAACTTGGATTTGTAGCATGTTTCTGCACTAAGTTGAGTGACACTGTCTCCAGTGAGATTGGTAAGGCGTACGGTAAAACAACGTCAGTACTACTTCCCTACTCCTTGGTTCGCTTAGATGTTTCCCAAACTTTATCTACGTAGAGCCCATTTGTTTGGATAAAAAACAATTTGAAATGACTGATGGAACTGAAATTTACTAAAACTGATTAACATTTTAGTATCTAAGAGGTGATGGTAGAACTGTAGAACGGTCATGTATATTCATTTCAGCCACTTCTCTATATCAACTTATTCAGTTACTGCAGTACAATAAATCAGTGTATGATAGAAAATATGCCTTATAAAGCAAAATTAGTGAGGTAGTAAACAAATACTTGATGTCTCCCCCCCCCCCCCCCCCCAACCCTTTGATAGAAAATAAGATCCAAAAAATATTGACAAGGAAAACAAGAAACTAGCGTTTCTATGCTGAAGCTGGTGCTAGATTCTCCAGTTTTTTAGTCCATATCAGTTTTGTTGTTTACTATTAGTTTGTTTCATTGTAGGACAATTAGCCATGTTTTAATCTTCTTCCTGGCTATTTGAAGTACAAACAAATTTGCTAGATCTCAAAGCGAATTCTAGCACAAAGAAGGGCTCCACAGTCCACAGTTTACTGTTTCATTACTGAGTAGTGGACAAATGTGCATAGTTCACTTTTTTCAATTGGCAGAAGTAACGGAAAAATGGATATGTAATTAGAAGTATGCCTTGCACTGAAACCTACGAGTTAGATGATGCAACTTTAATTGCAGATACCTTGTTACAACACTCAAGGTAGTTCCAAGAGGAACGGAAGGAGCAGTTAGTGTCGAGGGAACTTTTGCTGGACTTTTTGCTTCCATTCTCCTGGCTTCCGTTGCTTGCATAACTGGTCAGGTATGGACTTCTCAACATATATTATTACCTTTTTTTATTATCACACTAATTTGTGCAAGATTAGTTGTGGGTGATTGTTCACTTTTAAAAGTTCTGCAGTATAACAGAGTGCATTGTTAGAGTAAGACCCCATCAGCCCATAACTAAAACCTTTGTTCTTGACATCATAAAAAATAAATGTTTGAAAAAAAATGGAGTTTTTGCCATTTTCGGTCCCTCGACTAAAATGGCAGGGACACATTCGCTACTCGACTTTCAATTTTTTCATTTTCGGTCCTCAATTATTGTTCCTTGACTTTAAAATTTCCCTCGTTTAGTCCATGATTATTATCAAATTGACACTTTTAGTTCTTGCAATATGTTTTTGACACGATAAGTGGAGGACTAGAAATGTCACTACTATAATAGTTGAAGGACCAAAAATGTCACTTTTATGAAAGTGACATTTTTATGAAAGTCGAATGACTAAATGTGGAAATTTTCAAAGACGGGTACTAAAAGTGTCTTTCGCACAATAATCGAAGGACTAAAAGGGGAAAAAATCAAAGTCGAGTATCAAAAGTGTCAAAGGACATAATAGTCGGAGGACTAAAACTGACAAAAACTCGAAAAAAAATACAGAGTTTGTTTGGGACGACTTGTGGCATGATTTCTTTTTATAAAAGTGGTTTCTCATTTAAGCACTAACACGGTTCTTCCGTACCTAAGCACATACCAAATGCTTATTTTTTTAAATTAAAGTATTGTTTCCTACAAAAAAACACCTATTTATTGAAAATAAGTCATCCGAAAACACACCCTAAAACTGTACGATAAACAAATAGACCAAATAGTTTTGGAAGAAAGGATTTAACAATTCACAAGCTGACCAAAAAGCTCACTTGCAGATAAACAGACATGAAGTGGCTATATGTGTTTTGGCTTCCCAAATAGCTAACTTTGGCGAAAGTCTGATAGGAGCTACGTTTCAGGGGAAGGAAGGATTTGGATGGGTAATTCTTCTTTCTCTGGTTGCCTAATTTTCCGTTTTTCCCTGTAAAGATGCCGAAGTATCACCATAAAAATAATTGCTCCATGAAAATGAAATGAAATGATGCATATGGTAATCAGTAATCTTATTTTATCTGGAAATCTTCACTATATATATTCAACAATACTTAATGTTTGATTTCCAGCTGAGCAATGATGCAGTGAATGTGATCAACATATCAATGGGCAGCATTCTCGCAATCCTACTGCAGCTTATTGTACTCCACACTGGGCACACTTAGTTCACTAGTGCAGTTTATTAGAAAATGAAGAATGAAAGTAGGAGAAATTCTAAAACTCCATTGAAATTGCTCAAAGGCTGAGAAGATTGTTGTGTGTTGTCAATGTTCTGACTGGCTTATATTTATAGCCTCAATTCTACTGTTAGGGTTGGAAACTAAAAAAAAACTTTACGGAGGGGAAATACACACAATGACGCAGTAAGATGTTTCTTGAATGGCAGTAGATGACGAATCCTTATTTAATGTTTCTTGGACTGAAGTAGGGCTGCAGTCTAGTTCTCTACAATGGTTCATGTGCACCATTGATTTGGTCTGTTGATTAATCCTTCTTGATCTGCTATCCTGATAAGTTTGTGTCCCACACTCTGCATTTCAACTCTTTTATTTTGCTTCATGAATAGGCTAGACTTTAATTCTCCTGAAGCTTTCTTTTTCTCTTATTATGTTTTGCCGCATTTGTTCTTCTTCTCTTCTTGCTTGTTACTTGATGAATTCTAACACCTCCCTTCAAGTTGGGAGTAAAGATGTTGATTACTCTCATCTTGTTCGAAACTTCTTTTAATGCATCTCCCGAAACCGCCTTGGTAAAAATGTCTGCAAGTTGTTCGCGTGAAGGAACATGAAAGAGCTGTATAGTCTGTTTGTCCACTTTCTCTCTTATAAAGTGACAATCAATCTCTACGTGTTTCGTTCTTTCATAGAACACGGGATTCTTTGTTAAATAAATTGCAGACTGGTTGTCACAAAATAATTTGATCGGTTTGATAGTTTGGATCCCAAAATATCTTAATAATGCTATTAACCAAATGATTTCACAACACGCATAAGCCAATGCTCCGTATTCTGCTTTAGCCGGAGAATGAATTACAGTTTGTTGTTTCTTGGACTTCCAGCTCACCAAGGCATCTCCTAGGAAAATACAGTATCCAGAAGTTGATTTTCTTGAGTGGGGGCATCCGCCATAGTCTGAGTCACTAAAAGCTTTTATCTCTATGTCTGGTTTTGCACTCAAGAAAATACCATTTCCAATATCTTGTTTCAAATATTTAATCATTCTCATAAGTGCTTCTTTATGAGTTTCAGTGAGATTTTCCATGAATTGGCTTAGAATCCCTACTGCGTAGGAGATATCTGGTCTTGTGATGGTTAAGTAAATTAGCTTTCCTACTAGTTTTCTGTATTGAGTAGGATTAGAGAGTAATTTTTGTTTGATCTTTGAGTTTTCAGAGTACTGGTATAATTTAGTACCTTGTTCTATTGGATTGCAAACGGGTTTGCATCCAAGAAGACCGGCTTCTTCTAAGATCTCTGAAGCGTATTTCCTAGGGATGGATTCGGGCCGGGTCGGGCCCGGGCCGGGCCTAGGCCCGGTCGGGCCGCCGGTTCAAGAACAGTGGGCCCGGGATTGGCCCGAGGGTTGGACGGGTCCGGTTCGGGCCGGGCCACCCGCCCGGGTCACGGGTCGGGTCAGGTTCGGGCCGGGCCGGTTAATTTTTTTTTTTTTATAATTTATATTTTATACCTTCAGATGATCTTGCTACTTCTAATCCTAAAAAGTGTAACATCGCCCCCAAGTATTTTTTACTTTTAGTAAATCATGTAATAAACATTGAATAATGATGCATGAATTTACGAGGTTGTGAATGTTTGTTTTTTCGTTTGCGTAAATAGTGAATTGCACGTGGGGCCCACATCGGGAGCGGGGACCACCCGATAATCTCGGAACCACATATTATATTCATCTTGGTCTAGATAGTATGTATATGGTGGTAGATATTTTAATTGGGCCATAGAAAAGGCATAGGGTTGACCCGTCGGTCAAACAAGGCCCAATTACCGGTATCAGTAACTTTTCAGATAACAGACCGAGATGGATTTCGAAGAGTTCTAAATTAAAGGTGAGGAATGTATATTCGTTCTAAGAGTCCATAATGATGGGAAACACTTAATATATTTTATTTGACCCGATAAAATAAAATATAATTAAAACAGTCCGAAAAAAATACAACTTTCGGGACCGATTGTACATTTCGGGACACAAAGGGATGACCTCCCACATGAGTGGGGCCACCCCACGTTTTTATGAGCTGGGATAGACAAGGAAAGGGGCTGGTTGACTTGTAAGGGAAGAGGGTAAGGTGATGAGCATCAAAGGTACACCCATGGACCCCATTTCTCCCCACTCATTGTCCAAGCAAGACAAAAGAGCCAACTCCAACCCCCCTCATCCCATTATTTCGGCCACAGCATCAAAGAAGAGAGATTGAGAGCTCCAAGATCAGACTCCATTGTTGTAGCTCAAGCTCAAGCAAGAGTGGTTCAAAAGGGGGAGTTTTAAGAGGGAAAAGGAGAGGAAAAACTTGGATAATTAAGGTAATGACCTTATACTAACCTTTCCTCTATTTTTTTATTTATCATATGATTTATATATCATATGGAGGACTCCTAGAATCATTCTACACATTTAGAAGTGTAGAATGAGGGGTTGGAAGGTAGTTCTAAGTCCAAGAACGGACTTGGAAGCCAAAACGACTGATTCGCCGGAAAATAACCTTTTAGAGGTTATTTGTATTGATATGAGTTTTGTGATGATAAAACCATGTTAGGAACATAAATAAAGTGTTTCTAGAGTTCGCCGGAGTTTCGTCGGAGTCCAACCGAGGAGCGTAGAACGCGCTAAAGCTCATTTAAGGTGAGTGGATGGCTTAATGTCTTGTAACTTTTGGGTTAAGCATGAGATTACGTAAGTAAATGTTATATGTGTTCATGATGATGTTTAAAAGAGATTTAAACATGTGATTTGCCAAAGTGATTAGGCTTGTGTGAAATGAACTATCAAAATATGCATGATTTGTGAAATGAAAATGTTTATAAAAACATAGGTGGTATGTTTGCAGATAGGTGGTGCATAATATGGTTGTTCATAACTAAATACATGTTGTGATTAGGTTTGACACATATTGGATTTGAAATAGCGGGTCAACCGAGAGTTGACCGGTTGTTTAGGGGCAACCGACGCCGGTTTGGTTAGTTGTCTATATGTTAATTTTTAATGCATGAATTGTATGGATGAATTTACTTAGGCCTTAAGATTTGGATTAGTCTTGTTATTTGATTATGACATAGACCCTATCTAGTGTGATATGTGGTAGATCATAGGACGGGTGGAGTACCCAAGGATCGGGCGGTATCCTCAAAACTCGGTTATAAAGGGTGGAGTACCCAAGGATCGGGCGGTATCCTCAAAACTCGGTTATATAAGGTGGAGTACCCAAGGATCGGGCGGTATCCTCAAAACTCGGTTATATAGGGTGGAGTACCCAAGGATCGGGCGTGTATCCTCAAAACTCGTAGATTACTATTTAGTAATTCAGGACCGGACGGTGTCCTTATGATTATTTGATTTGGACAGGAGGAGTCCTATACACTCATGGGTCTATGGGTGGGTTGAGATTTTAAGTCAAGGACATTGACTACTATTATTTTCTCCCAATTAAACAATGACCTACGGGTCGGGTATTTCCAAGTGTATATAAGTAGTGATATGTATTTTGTAACTTGGGGTAAGGAAGTATAAGTATATGTATCACCCTATGTTTGGGTCTTATACTTGAAACGTTAGTTACTCTATATTTAGCTTGCTACTCGCTCGGTACTTGTACTGACCCCTTTGGGGGGGGGGCACCATTTCAGGTTGAAGCTAGAGCATGTTGTCTACACCTTTGCACGGGTGGAAAGAATCTAGAGGAAGATGTGGTTCGTGCTTCCTTTATTATTTTAAATCATAAACTATGCTCATGGATACTTTTGTAATATTACATTGTTTTGGCCTGCGAGCCTACGTTTTGCCATATGTGGCATATGATTGACCGTTGAATATTTTCCGCTATTCATTCAATCTATGATGTGATGTTGTTATGTTTGTTTACTACTGAGTATGGTGTGAACGATGTTCATGAACGCCTTGTGTGATTATGTGAGGTTGACTTGCGAGTGACGTCACATAATCACACGGCGGTTGTACACGCGCTTAGATGCGGTGTGGGGCGTGACAAAAAGTATTTCAGCTTTCCTAGATCCCTAACTTTAAAATTGGTTTGGAGTTGGTCTTTGAAGTTTGCTAACTCTTGATTATTATTTCCAACAAGGAGTATGTCATCAACATATATCAATAATATACTGATTTTATCATTTCTGAACCTGGTAAAGAGTGAATATTCACTTTTCGATTGATTGAAACCAAGTTTAAGAAAAAATTCTGTGAATTTGTGATTCCATGATCTAGAAGCATGCTTTAAACCATATAGTGATTTTCTTAGCTTACATAACATGGTGTGTTTATGCTCCCCCTGAATTGAAAGACCTGCGGGCAATGCCATGTAAATGTCCTCCTCTAAGTTACCATTTAGGAAGGCATTATGGACATCTAGTTGATCAAAGTGCCATTGAAATTTGGCAGCTAATGTTAACAAGACTTTCACTGATGTTAGTTTAGCTACAACGCTGAAAGTTTCTGTGTAATCTATTCCAAATTGTTGTGTGTATCCTTTCGCTACTAGTCTAGCTTTATATTTGTCTAAGGATCCATCCGTTTGAGTTTTGTTTTAAAAACAAACTTGCTTCCTATTGGTCTAACTCCAGAGGGTAATGGGACTATATCCCATGAGTGATTTGTCTGTAGGGCTTTTAATTCTTCAGAAATAGCTTCTTGCCAATGCTTTTCCTTAATTGCTTCTTGCCAATGCTTTTCCTTAATTGCTTCTTGATATGAAGTAGGATCTTGTATTGTAGATTGTTTCACTGTGTAAGCTTTATGTTTCTTTGATAATTTGTCATATCCCAAATAATGAGATAGAGGGTGATGAGTGCTTTCCTTTATTAGTTGTGAGACATTGGATCTAGGAACAATGTAATGATGAAATGATTGTAAATGAGAAGGTGTTTGTATGTTTCTGGTGGATCTTCTCAAATGAGAAGTGGTGTCATTGTTATCAGGGGAATCAATATCAATTTGAATCGGAGAGATTGATTGTGTAACTTCTCTATTACTGGAGAATGTTTCAGTAGAAGTTGTCTTTCTACTAACCGGTGTTTGTTGCATTGAGATATTGTTTTCTAGAGTCACTATTGGTTCCTTATCATCATAGGTATCATTTGCATCAGGTGAATCAGTTTTGTACTTACTATGCAAATGATCTCTGATGTCTGGTAATAGACCCGGAGAGTAAATGATCACATTTTCTTGTTCTAGATGTTTTTCCTTAAATGGAAAAATATGTTCTATGAATTTCACATCTCTAGAGATAAATATTTTCTTTGTTTCTAAATCAAAACACTTGTATCTCTTGATATTTGGTGGGTATCCTATGAACACTCCCTTTCTTGATCTAGGATCAAACTTTGTCCTATGTATAGGTAAAGTAGTGGCAAAGCATAAGCAACCGAATACCTTAATGTGGTCGTAGTTTGGTTTCTTTCCATAGATTATCTCAAATGGGCTTTTTTCTTTCAAAATTGGAGTTGGCATTCTATTTATGAGATAGACTGCAGTGAGTATATCCTCTCCCCAAAAATGCTTAGGCAAATGAGATTGAAACATTAAAGACCTAGCAACATTCAAAATGTGTTGATGCTTTCTTTCTACAATTGCATTTTGTTGAGGCGTGTAGACACAAGTTTTTTGTTGTATTATTCCTCTTTCATGAATGAAATCAGGCATGCAGAACTCTGTTCCATTATCAGATCTTAGTATTTTGACTTGTGTTTAATTTGAACTGTTTTTCCACCATATTAATGAAGCTGATTAGGGTTGTTTTTGTGTCAGATTTTTGTTTTAGAAGACATGTCCATGTGAACCTGCTTTTGTCATCTACTATGGTCAAGAAATATGTTTGTCCATACATTGTACTTGTGGCATATGGGCCCCATAGATCACAATGTAGTAATTCAAAAATAGATCCTGAATTACTTTCACTATTTCCAAAAGAATATCTCTTTTGCTTTGCCATTTCACATACAGTGCAATAAGAAAAGTTATTACAAGATATTGAAGGATTGCAATCCTTTATTTTAGCTAGTTTATCTAAAGAAGGATGTCCTAACCTGCCATATGTGGCTAGAGACATCTGCTTCCTCTTTATTAATGGCATATGCCTTCTTGTGAAAAAATAGTTCTTCATCAACTTCCAAGTGATACAGTCCTCCTCTTACTCTATTCTTCAGTCCATTCTATCTCCAGGAATTCTTCAAAGGAGTAGAGTTTCTCTGCACCATAACACATTCATCTTTAGTAAATATGATTTTCAAATCATTATTCTCTGCCAGTTTGCTAACTGAAACAAGATTTATTTTAAAACTAGGTGCACATAATACATTTTTAAGTATCAGTGACTCATTGATGACTATATCACCTTCATATTTCACTGGTGTTGAAGTTCCATCTGGTAATAAAACTGAACTATTTACTTTTCTTTTATTGTGAGTAATGCAATCATGTGAAAATATGATGTGGTGTGATGCTCTTGAGTCTAAAATCCATGGCTTATTCAACCAATTAAAACATATCATACTTCCAGGAGTGGATGCGGTTCCATTTGCACTAGTTGCACCAGCATGAACATTGATGTTTGCTTCACGGTTTTTGTTCTTTTGTTGCTCTGCAAGTGCTAGCAGCTGGCTGATCTGTTCATTAGTGAGTTGTAGCTGACTATCACCACCTCTGCTTGCATTGAACCCAGTGTTCACCTGATTGTTGAAGACACCATGAGTGTTGTTTCTACCTCCAAAACCTCCTCTATTTCCAGCTGAAAACCTCCCACCTCTATTCTGGTAACCTCCTCTTAAGTTGTTATCAAAGTGAGGCTTTTTGGTGTAGGAAGGACCAACTTGAGTAGGATAGTTTTGGTTGGGCAGAGTAGTGTTTGGATAACCATGAATTTTGAAACAAGTTTCAATAGAGTGGTTGTTCATCCTACACTTAGGACAATGCATAACTCTCTTATCTTTTCTTTTTGTGCCTATTGTTGCAAGAGCAGATGCATCGATGGTTGTTTAAGTGTCCATATTTCTTGTTTGTTTCTATCTTTCCTCTTGAAGGACAAGACCATAAGCTTTGTCAACAGATGGAAGAGGTTCCATACTAATGATAGCTCCTCTCACAACATCATAGACATTAGACAGGCCCATTAAGAACTTGAATAGCTTTCTAGTTTCAATCATTTTCTCAAACTTTTCACTGAGTTTGCACTTGCATAAGCCACAAGAGCATGTGGGTATTGGCTGGTAGTTACTCAGCTCTTCCCATATGGCTGAAAGTTTGCCAAAGAAAAGAGAAACATCATTGGAGCCTTGCTTAAAAGCATTTAAGTTTTGTTCAAGCTGAAAAACTTTAACTTCACTTGGCTTTGCAAATCTCACTTTGAGTTTGTCCCAAGCTTCTTTAGCAGTATCACAATATAACACGGTGGCTTTAAGCTCCTCTGAAATAGAGTGAATGAGCCATGACATGATGAGAGTATTGCATTTGATCCAAGACTTAGAGTTCTTGTCGTTGGCATCTGGTTTTTCCAGAGTGCCATCAATGAACTCTTCTTTATTTTTCAGAGTTAAAGACATGATAAAGGCACGACTCCAAGTATGATAATTTGAAGAAGTGAGAACCGGAGAAACAGCACCAGAGGTGGTGTTGTCTGAGTGATGCAAGTAGTATGGGCTAAAGGGATCATCATGGACATGGGGTGAACCACCACTGTCCAGTCCACTAGTACAAAAAACCCTTTTTACATCACCTTATCTACATGTGTTATTTTAAAACCCTTGTAGAATACCAACACGGGGTCATTTTTATAACCTTTATAAACTTTTTTAGATGGGTTGTTGTTATAACCCATGTTAAATACCAAAACGGGGTGCTTTTCATAATTTTAAGAAATATTCTAAATCGGTTATGCTTGGAACCGATGTGAAAAGAAAAACGGGGTAATTTTCAGAATTAACAAAACTTTATTTTAGATCGGTTAAAACCGATGCGGAAGAAATAAAAAAAAGAGAATCGGATCTTATTCCAGATCGGTTGTACCCGATCTGGATTAATTAAAAATCCCTAGCGCCCGATTTTAGCCGCCTAGAGCGAGTTCTGTGCGAACGAAAGAAGACAGGGTTCTGTGCGAACGAAAGAAGACGGAAGAGCAGTTCAGCGACTTGAGAGCTTTGGACAGACTTCGAGCGGATGGCGTTCTAGCGGACGGTGGACGGCGTTCCAGCAGACAGCGGACGGCGTTCTAGTGGACGGCGGGCAGCCATCGAGCCGCGGACAGCGTTCGAGCAGCGGAAGACATTCGAGTGGCTTTCGAGTAGGCGAACCTTCCTTTTCAGGTTTCAATTTGACCATGATTATCTTATTTCACATTTTGTTGCTTCTGTGAATTCACTGTGTACATAATAGGTTTCAATTTGTTGATATTGCTTCTGTGAAGTTAGTAGATGATGATGTTATTCAAAGTTAGAATCTCCCTTTATCCTGTTTTTTTTTTTTAAATTAAAAGGCATCCATTAAGTTGAATCTGCAAATCCAAAAGCAAAGCTGAATTTGTGGGATAGAGGGCGTATTTTATTTGAAATGACGTTATCCGTAACAGCATATATACGATGGTGATAACATAGCAACCAATACAAGTCTCTTAGATTGAAAGGAACCTACAAAGGACAAACCCATCATTTCACTATACATGTTTTTATTCAATCTGTAAGTGTTGCTTGTCCTGGCTGAATCCAGGTGTGTGTATGTTAAATTGAATGGGGTCAATAAAACTGAATTTTTTGACTTGTAAAATTCATTTTAGAAATGAATCTGTTGTGTGCCCCCATTAGGAAAAAGCCCTTGTTTTATGAATCCTGTTACATAAATGCAATACTTTTTTAGGAGACATTTCCCCGCTCAAGCATCCTACGCATTTTGGCCGTACGATTTCACCTATTCAGATGTACGACTCCAAAGCCCTTCAGCTTAGTCCCTATTTTACTAGCCACAAAAGAAACAATGATCAGCTCTCTGTAGAGGACAAAATGTTGTTGGAAGAAGCAATGAAAAGAAAAATTGTTCCCGTCATAAGCAAAAGTTAAGAGTTCGGCATATCCAATAAGGGGAGGCAGGTTTATGCTCTTAGTAGGAGCAACATGCAGCTCTCCATGTACAGTGGCGGAATGTCCGACAACTAATTTCTGGCCGGAACGATTTTTTATTCAAAATCGAATTCCGATTAAAAAGATAATAGGTTTGTTAAGGAAGATAATTTGTTATGTTTCACTTTTATTGGCATATCTTATTCAATTCCAATTCTTGACATTAATATATAGGAATACGCAATGTGAAGCATGGAAGATATTTGTTGGTGATAAGGTTTAACTGTAATAGGGTTTTAGTTTGGTTTTAATCAATATTTGAAGGCTTATTACTGTTTTAGTAATCAATTGTAAAGATTGATTTGGTAGCTTGATATATTTCAATTTTATCCAAAAATTGCTACCTTTTGTTAATTTTGAGTTCTGTTTTTGCTAACTTGAGTGATTTTTCAGATATTTTGAAATTTGATTTATCTATTTTATTTAAGTGTTGTTGCAGGTTTTACTACTTTTTAGGTCCATGCATTGAAAGTTTAACATGCATTGAAAGTGATGCTGCTCTTGCTTCGGCTAAAAAAGCAGCAAGTGCGTCTCAACTTGCAGGTCTTGTCCCAATTTCTCAGATGCAGCCTCATAGTGGATAACCTGGTTCCCTTTCCAATATTCTTCAAGGTAATGGACTCCCAATTGCCCCTAATGATATATCAGCCACAACAGCAGCATTTCTTGCTGCGAAGAATTTGCAGCAGAACTTGGCTAAGCTTCAGAATGAGGTCATGCCTGAGCATTATGAAGCTGAGTTGGAAATTAATGATTTTCCTCAAAATGCTTGTGGGAAAGTGACACACAAAGAGACCCTAGATCCTATTTCAGAATGGACTGGAGCTGCCATCACTACCAGGGGCTATTATATCCCACCTGAGAAGGTACCTGGACCAGGGGATAGGAAATTGTACTTGTTCATTGAGGGCCCTACAGAGCAATCTGTCAAGAGGGCAAAAACTGAGTTGAAACGTGTTTTAGAGGACATAAATATGCAAGTAACATCACTTGCAGGCTCAGCTCAGCTAGGGAGATACTCAGTTGTGTAAGTTGACATGATGAGCTATAAGAAGATCCGGTGTAGGAATGAAACCTTTATGGTAAGCCTTCTATCTGATAAAACTTTTAAATTTGTTGGGTTGTGAATATAGTTCAATAACTTGTATTTACTTGTGAGTTCAATTTTGAGAATTTTATTCACCTTTAATTTTGTAATTGTCCACAATTGCTGTATTGCTGCTCTTTTAAATGCAGCGCGTAAGCTTGATTATGGTTCACACCGTGTTTGTTAAACACACGGTAGTAGTACACTAGTCCACTCGCTATATGGTTTATCTAGTTTTTTCACCCAAACCTGCAATCCATCAATGTAGTTTGAATAGAGAGGATATTAAGACCTTGACTCAGCCATCAATCTTTACCCTTGCTAGTATACATATATTGGTTTGGAAAAAAAATAAGACTGCAAATGAAATATTATAATCCTGAATCACTTCTTCTAATAATGAAAGTTGATTGTGCAAACATGATGCTTGTGTTTTATTCTAATTCTGGCCCCCTCTTTGTAATGCAGACTACACAATGTGTAAATGATCTCATTTGGCGTACACTCCTACCAGTGATATTGTGATCAGATGCTTACTTGAATACCATTATTTTCAGGAAAAGGTTGTGCTTCAGTTAGACCTATGACATATTTGCTTGGAACTTCTCATCTTGAAACTGTTACAAAGGTAAGCCCCTTCTTTTATTTTCATTTCAAAACCATCTTATTTTAATTTATTGACAATTCTTCTTCTTACTGTTATTTTATGGGATGTTTTCCAAAAGGGCTATGCCTTACCTTTTTTTGTTGTTTTTACCGTTTGTTTAGTTCGATGCCTTAAATGAATGTTTGTGGAGTCTAAACTTGTTTTTTTTCATCTTTAATGCTTGATTAATGTTTTCATCTCTAACACTTTATTGTTATATATGAAATTATTTGCAGTTTTTCTATTTCTGTTAAAGTTGATATCGTGATATGCTTTTTCGATTTGAAGTATTTGTTATTTGAATGCTAACTATCTTTTTCGTTTAAAGATAACTTTTGTTTGAAATGTGAACTTAATCAACTACTATTCTTTGTGTCTAAGTTATTAGCCTAAATTCAGGCAGAGACAGAACAAGGCTCCGGTATACTCTTATTGCGAGTGACGTGACTGCGGCTCCAGCATACTCTTATCGCGACTGACGCGTCGTGGCTCCAGCATACTCTTATCGCAATTGCGGCTCCAGCATTGAGTGTAGATCACGATTTTGTACCTTCATCGTTGGATGACATTCACAAGCCGAGCAGTAGACTGACGTTCGAATGCATCTCCTATGTGTCTCATCACATTTAACGTTCCTCTCAATTGCTCAATTTCCAGTTTAGCTGCGTGTTTTGCATGTAGTTGTTTCACAAGTGTAATTATTTTTGCCTATTCTGTTCTTCAACTAATTTCATCATTTTTCATATGCCCTCCTTTGCTCTTCAGTGGCAGCAGAAATTGAACTGTTTAGGGGAGCATTATGTTTAGGGGAGCGTTTTCTTTTGGGAAAACGGCGGATTGGACCTAAGCCACTATAACCCAAACTCACTCAAAGTATGACATGGAGAATAATGATTACACTATAGAACCATTTCTTGACACTATTATTTTTAATAGAGTACAGTTTGAGCCATTTATTTCCTTGGTTGAGAGAGCAGGCTGAAGATTTAGGAGCTAGGCTTTGCTCCTAGTGAGGTGCTCATATGACTTATCTTTGTTAGGATAGCGTTTTGACTTTTCTAACCATACATATTCGTCTGATTCGTGTCTGAATTTGCTACATGTTTACTCATTCATCAACGTAAAATGCAGGTCATCTTACTTTTCTTGTAGAGAATTGTTGGGGATCTTTATTAGTGGTATGTGTTTATTGTTGAGTCTTCATTGTTAGGTATAGTGTGCATGATTACTATCAATGCATTATCTACTCCATGTAATGTTTTTTAATAACCTTCTTATTAAACTTGTAGCGATTCGCCAATCTGGAACCATTCTCATCAAAAGAGATTGATGAAGTACGAACTCGTTGGGCACCATATTTCTTAGAAATGACGCAATCCATCAACGACACACGATGAACGTGTTTATTTATGTTTTTGAGTGATGATGAGACTTGTAACTTTATACAATGTGTTATTACTCTAGACTTGTGCAAGGATTGTTTTATTTTAGCTTATTATTATGTACTAAGTTGTTACTTGAACTTGTTGAACATTTGTGGAAGAATTGAAAAATAGCTTGTGTTATTGTTTTAGATGGATCAAGTGAACAGGTGAAAAATTGTGCTATACTAGTTGATGATACTGTTAGTGATGTGATTATAGTATAAATGGGGGTCATATTGCAAATTTTTTTCGTGAAAAATACCGAAAAATTTGAAGTTTTTCACATCATTTTTGAAATAACCGATGTGATTGCTTTTCTACATGGGTTATAACCGATGTGAAACACACATGTTCCGGAAAAAATATGAAGCTTTTCACATCAGTTGTGAAATAACTGATGTGATTTCATTTTTACATGGGTTATAACCGATGTGAAAAACCTATGCTTCGGAAAAAATTGAAGCTTTTCTACATCAATTGTAAAATAACCGATGTGATTTCGTTTCTACATGGGTTATAACCGATGTGAAATATCATTAAAAATGTCGTTTCGGACTATCTTCTAGATCGGGCACTAAACGACCGATGTAGAAAGAATTTTTACATCGGCTATTTGACCGATGTGAAAAGTCAATACTTTTCACATGTGCTGGAACCACATCGACTATTTGACCGATGTGAAAAGTCTTTTTTGACCGATGTGAAAAACCTTTTTTGTACTAGTGGTCCTTTGCCCATTTCACCAGTTTCTCCGGTCATGTTCAAATCTTAAAGAGATAAAGCCTTTTAAACAAACAAGTAAAGAAGGTGACCTTCTATAGAACTAAAAAATAAATAATAATAATAAAATAAAAACAAAAAAGAGATTTTAGCAAAGATAACCTTCTATGATACCATATTAGAAAATGAAGAATGAAAGTAGGAGAAATTCTAAAACTCCATTAGAATAGCTCAAAGGCTGAGAAGATTGTTGTGTGTTGTCAATGTTCTGACTGGCTTATATTTATAGCCTCAATTCTACTGCTAGGGTTGGAAACTATAAAAAAAACTTTACATAGGGGAAATACACACAATGATGCCGTAAGATGTTTCTTGAATGGCAGAAGATGACGAATCCTTATTTAATGTTTCTTGGACTGAAGTAGGGCTGCAGTCTGGTTCTCTGCAATGGTTCATGTGCACCATTGATTTGGTCTGTTGATTAATCCTTCTTGACCTGCTGTCCTGATAAGTTTGTGTCCCACACTCTGCATTTCAACTCTTTTATTTTGCTTCATGAATAAGCTAGACTTGAATTCTCCTGAAGCTTTCTTTTTCTCTTATTATGTTTTGCCGCATTTGTTCTTCTTCTCTTCTTGCTTGTTACTTGATGAATTCTAACACAGTTCATTCCGTCATTTCAGTTCATTCTCGTTTTTTATTTTGGCCAATGTGTGTGTTTACTGTGTACATATTAGGTTTTCAACCGTGCAAATGTGCAATGCACGATACAAAAAATAGCAAAAATTTATATACTATAATTACTTTGTATTAATAATATTTGAGAGTTGTGGAATAAGAAACGCGTTTAAATGTATTAGTTGATTAGTTCTATATAAAAGGCAATACATATTGTTTATAAGAAGAAGAAACTACCTAAATATTACAATTAGTGAAAACTCTACATATTTGACACTTCTTGATAGATAATCGTTGGTTGCATGAACGATTGGTTATCATCTTCGTAAATCAATATTTTGAAACACCCTTGATAGTTAACATAGTATTTTGTGCCGATTATTGTGATCGAATGTAAATTCAAATGAAATAAGTATGTCAATCACAATCATAATGTAAGTTGCATCAGAATTTGTTTTAGCCCAGAATGTGGCTCGGAATTGGCGCAGAAATGCAAAAGGTTATTTTTTGGCTAAAAAATTGACCCGGAAAAAATCAAGGCAGCTAACAGACAATATTTTTGTACGGAGTTTGGCTTTGAATTAGTTTGGAAATACAACGACTATTTTTGGCCCAAAATTTGGCTCGGAAAAAATTCAACGAACCCAACAAACATTTTGGCACGAAATTTAGCTCGGAAATGCAACGGCTATTTTTTGACTCAAAATTTGGCTTAGGAAAAATTGACGCAGTCAACGAACACTTTTTGGCACGGAATTGGGCTGGGCGTTGGCCAAGAAAATGCAACGGGTAATGTTTGGTTCGACATTTAACTCGGATTTTGGGTTGACTTGTGGCTAGGAAATATCCGAATCAATTGGGTTCTCGTTTTTGGCAAGGATTGTATTCTGACGCAAGTTGTGACGGCTTTGGGGACAGAAAACCTAACCAGCCAAGTTATTTTTTAATTTTTCGGGATTGGCGCGGATTTTGGCTCAGAATTTTTAATCAACGTTTTGGCTGGGATTTTTCAGTGCCAAAGTTGTCCTAGTACCGGATTTCAACCAGTTCAAGCCATATTCCGAGCCAAACGTGGTTGGGCCTTTTTTTGAGCCAAATTGCTATGCCTATACTGAAGTTTTTTGGTAGTGTGTTATTTTTAGCTATAAATACTATTTTTGGAAAATGATATTTTACTCCATATAGACACGTGAATTATTTAAATCTTTTAAATATTATTTTGGAAAATCGACAAGAATAATCTCACTTTTGACCAATCTTTTCATAATAATCTCATCTTTTCGTAATCCCAAAATAATCTCACCTTTGAACCCAATCTTCTTTCATCGGACCTAAACCGGTTTATGACCTACTATACTAGATTTTTTTGTCTTTTCTTCAGAAATCTTACATAAATAAAGCCACCTTTAACAAATCTGCTCAGAACAGTCTTATGTTTCATTTTTTCTTTTTCCTCCCTAAACTTTTTCTTTCTTTATTTTTATTCCTAGACACTTTCTTATTCCCTTTTGCATCCTTTTGTTCTTATTTATTTTCCATATTTATTATTTTACTTCTCACTCTATTAAGAGAGTTTTTTTGTACAATTTCCTTTCCAATTTTTTTGTTGTTGTCATTTTCTTTTTCTTCCCGTATTTTTATTTCATTTCCCTTTTGTGTTTCTCTTCTTAATGATTCTCTTTTATTAAAGATCTTTTTTACTCTACTTTTTGTTATATTTTTTTTTATTTTCACTTTTCCCCTTTATTTTTCTTGTTACCTTTTTAGGTTTTTTCTTCTTTATTCTTTTCTTTCTTCTTATTATCTTATTTCCACCATCAATATATTTTTTCTCCTTTGTTCATTATTGTCTTTTTCTAAGTAATCCACCTATTAATTCCATCGATTGTGGAAAAACTCTATGTGATGAAAAGATTAGGGAAATATAAAATTTGAAGAAAAATAAAACATCCAGGAAATGTAAATAAGAATAAAACATTCGGGAAAATGTAATTTTATTATTCGCGAAAATATTTTTCTTACATTTTCCCGGCTGTTTTATGTTTCCCTAATCTTTTCGTAACATAGTGTTTTCCCATAGCTGATGGAATTAATGGGTGGACTTACTTAAAAATCTATGATAATGAAGAAAGAAGAAAAATATATTGATGGTGGAATTAAGATAACAAGAAAAAGGAGAAAAAACATAAAAAATGTAACAAGAAGAAAAAATGGGAAAAGTGAAAATAAAGAGAAACTATAACGAAAAGTAGAGTAATAAAAAGATCTTTAATAAAAAGAGAATGATTAAGAAGAGAAACATAAAAATGGCAATGAAATAAAAAGATAGTCCATTTGGTAGCACTGAAATTGGCTTAATTGGCTGATTTTGCTGAAATTTATGAAGTTCTGGCTGCAGTGGCTGGATTGGTTGATTCTGCTGATTTATGAAAAACTTATATTCAAAATATATTATATTAATAAAATAATTAAAAAGTTATACGAAGTATGAAAAAATAGGTAAAACAATTCTCTACGGTAACTTCAGCCAAAACAACTAGAAAAGTAACTTCAATCTTACTTCTTATTATTATACAATTCAACGCGTGAAATAAGTTACGTGTTTAGTGAAAAAGTTGGATGATAAGCATGATAAGCTGAAAAACATGGTCATGAAACGAGCTCATAATCTTAATCATATGAATCAGACTTGGGGTACACACTTTGTGTACACACTCTTACACACTCTTTGGTCAAATACGTTTTGTCTGGGACAGACATAAAAAAAAGACTTCACAGACATGAGTGTGTAAGAGTGTGTATCAATAGTGTGTACTAATAGATTTTTTCTAATCTTATACTCCGTATATTTTTATGATCACACTATACACCGCGGCACTGAATTAGGGCTAAAATCACACACTTTTCTGAGATGAGTAAACCTTCTAGAGCTCTGCCTTGATGAGTAAACCTTGATGAGCCCACCTTTTTCTGAGATGAAACATATAGAAGAGCTATATCATCTGAGCTGACATACAAGAAATGAGGATATAACGAGATAGAAAGTCTGAAACCACCGACAAAATACAAACACCACTTACATAGTGTTTGAGTTCAGCCTATTTACTCTAGCTCATGAATCCCACATTATCACTTCAAATAAACAATATTGCTTTAAAATTATTTGACTCAATTTAAAAGAGTTTAGTCCTTTCTACCTGAAATAGGCTTACCAAACATGGCCTTAGACTATATTAAACACATATATGTCACACATTTATCAACCAAACTTAATTAGTTCATATCAAATCATATTAGACTTGAGTAGGTTAAATCAAATCATATCATATCAAACAAGACTAGAAAATTTCAGATTAATTGAAAACATTTTGAATAAGTGAATTGTCTCAATGTAATTTTATTTCATGAGAGCATACATTCTTACTGGCCCTATACATGCGATTCTATCTCAAAATCAATCATCAACAAAAAATGAGTAATCTAACAAAAATTTACTTATTATATACTCCGTACGATAGTATTTATTACATTTATGTCAACATATTGTTTAGTGTAAGGAATCCGTACCGGCTCAGTCCTCAATCACCATAGCCCAAAGGCCTTGCTCAACATTCACCACCAAGGTTTCAGGAAGGGAAGATGAAGGGAAACAGTCTACAACACTCAAATATAAAGCCCAACCCCCCAGACCAAAGCTTCGAAAAACCCACAAGAGAGTAAACCCAAACTACCAGACTTGAGTGAAGCCCCCCAAAGGATTCCCAAGGTATCACCGGAGAGTGGCCGAAGCT